TGGTGACCTGGAAGATGCGAGACTGAGGAGGAGTACCACGACAAGGTCGAGTGCTGAGTGGGAAACATCTGAAGCTTGCATTAATTCGTTTTCACGTGTTTGTCACCACGAACTCTTGGATTCGTTCCAAGACAACCCTGCCCCAGTGCAGGTGGATGCAAGTTTAATTCGTTTTTCACGTGTTTGGACAACGAACTCTTGGGTTACCAGTGATGTGGACCCAGGACAACCTGCCTGATGGTGGGATCTTGCATGAGTTTTAAGTTTGATGTCAGAGATCGACTGGTGTGTTGTTTGTTTCGTTTGGTGGCGAGTACGCACCAAGGGAATGTGGCCAGGGCATCCCCTTAGTGTTGAAGTGCCGAGCTGGGCTTGGACTTCAGATCTTTGACATGAACCCTCAGCAAAATGCGGGGGGTGGAAGATTGTGGCTGATCATTGATGTTTTTGTCATGTTTTGGATCAGCTTGTATAGGTTTGTTTTGCTTCGGAGTGATTGGGAATCCGTGTGATCCCATCCTCGATGGTTTATGCCTCGTTGATTTCCAAGGAAATCATACGAGTGTGTTTTTGCCCAATACGCTATTTAAAGTGAGTGTGCAGTGTGTAGGAACTTCGTTCTGAAGCTGAGTTTAAGCTCACAAGAGAGAATTCGTTTAGTTTGTGCACTTCGTGACTTTTGGCTCAAGTGGCTCTGACTGTGAAAAAGAGAGAGCTGTCCGCACTTGTGTGAGAGGTCAGGGTTCGTGCTTTCAAGGGAAAAGGTACCAGAGGGACCTTCGTTTTTTCACGGGGTCGGTCTTGCCTTGATTGTTCTGTTAAGTCCCCACTGGCTAACCACCATGGGGCATGCGCACGTCTTTCCTCTCGTTTGGGGAGTCTGACCTGTACCATCCCTTTGCCAATGCGGGTTCGTGATGTGTCCTTAAAGACGAGCACTAGAGCCTTCCGTGTCTCTCGCATCAGCCAAGCTTTTTGCCAAACAAATACTGTCTATCAATGTTTTTCCAATGATGCAATCTCTAGCCTTTGCGAGTTGCTCCCACATAAAGCTTCAGCCAACAATCTGCCACAGGCAGTGCTTTCGGCACAGGCTGTTGGTTCAGGGGTCTTGATGGGGTTTGCGTTGCAAAAAACCGATTGTTTCCGTTTGTGACGCGTGTTCTTTGGTGCGTCAGACGCCTCCGATCATGTCTGGACTTCCGTGGTGGTCTTTTTTTCAATGTTCAGACTGCCCAACATCGCGATGCCCGGCTGGTACGGACAGAATTCTGCGGTGTTTGATGGCTTTAAGTGCAAGGGTCACCATCGACTGCCCTGGGCTGGTCTTGTCTTGATTGTTCTTGCTGTTAAGTCCCCACCGCTAACCACCATAGTTTTTTTTTTTTTAACTGGCGCCCCTTTACTACATGAGCAGCAGTAGGTCGGTCTTGTTGGGCTTGACGTAACGGGTAAAACGAAGTCAGCGTGCGCAAACCACCAAAAACACCAGAAGCAACAAACCAAGCAGAGGCGCCAAACTACTATGAAACCCGGGAATCGCAAATTGCGACACTGCCAGATCTTCAAAACACCATCATGTAGCTACTGGTGCAACGTCATTCGGCTCGAACCAAGGTCTTGCCAAGGTCATCATCGATAGTCAGCAAAAGTGCACTGGCAGAGTAGCACGCTAAAACCTTGACTTCCCGTTGTGTTCACAACTGCCTCCGCTCCATCAGGAGGGGGGGAGCAGAGGGCTAGGGCCAAGTCACCCCTGGGCCTAGCGGGCAGTGGATTGAGGGGGTTGATTGAGGGGTTCAGGACGCCAACGGGTTCTAACTAGAATTTGAAAGTCTATTTCCAGATCCATCTAATGCCATCCGAACCTTTGAGCGCTCAACCTCAAAGTCCCCCATTCTCAAGTTGCTCAGCTTAGACCTCTAAACTCTGCCTTAACAGTTTCAAGGCCGAGCCTCTAAACTAAGGACGCCAGGCTTAGCCAGTGGCCCAGAACAGTGCTCCACGTCGACAACAAGACAACCCACTGGAAACTGAAAGGCTGGAGCGCGAAATGTGTTGCTTTGGGGTTACACTTTTCCGACACATGTTGTTTGCCATAAAATACTCCAGTGCAGCTTTCAGCGGATTTTCACCTTATATATTGGTGTCCGACCCCAGCTTCACCCACTACGTGCAAGTCTACTTGCTACCGCCGCCCGCCGAGCACTGTTGCTTCTGGCCAAAAGTGCAGGTTTAGGTTTCTGGGTTTGGTTTGGAAGTGGATTCGGGCGGTTTGTGGTTTCAGATGTTGTTCGAAGATTTCTCTCCAAACTTGGAGGTTCTGTGAATAACTATGCTAGTTTAAATCGGGGGTTTTCATCCAGTCGGCCCCCTATGCTGGAAAATGCACCTACATCGCTGAGGTTCTATGACGGGAAGCAACAATGCAAACGCACGGGAAAATTGGCAGGCTGTGGGGTGGGCGGAGAAGATGTTTCCCAAGTCTTGTGTCAAGTCAGAGGCAGGAGCACCATGGGACCTGTGGGTTAAGGGTTTCGGGGGGAGCAGGAGGGTTGGAGGGTCTTCTGTCGCCCAAATAACCCGAGAACAGCCCTGAACACACTGACCTAAGCCAACCAACGCCGCAAAACTCACCATCAATCCCGTAGGTGGACCCTTTCTCATTCTTAAGCCAAACGTGCACAGTGCACGGTCCCATCCATCAGGGTTTGTGCCTTCGCATAGGGTTCAAGGTCTAGGGGCACCTAACAGCTCTAAGCCCCAAGCTTTGCAGGCCATCTTCGAACTCTGACTCCACTCCCATCGCGATCGTTGCAGCCTTAGGAATTCCCGAGATGGTGTTCCCTTGCATCGCTTGTGCCTGCCTCTGCCAGCAAGCAAGCCTTGGGCTTCATTGTTCTTGATACGTGTTGTTTCGTGTTTGTAAAATTATTCACATGCTAGCATTTTCTGTGTTCTCAATATGATTATTTCTATCACTAGTACCAATGTTGTTGTCATTGTCATTGCCATTTCATTTTCATTGTCTTTGTTTGTGTTAGTACCACTATCGTTTAGTTGTTGTTGCCATTATTGTTATTGTTATCATTACCTTGGTTTGTGTTATCATCCTCATTTGATCCGGCAGCAGCTGCACAGAGAAATGGCCAGCTCCATGCCAAAGAGAACGCCGCCGCAAAAAAAAAACAGGGGTGTGGGTATGAGGATGGTGATTATTATTTCTGATGATGATGATGATGAGGATGATGATGATGATCATGATGATGCTGATGATGATGATGATGATGATGATGATGATGATGAAGCCCCTGGGCCCAAGTCCTCTTCTGAAGTTAGGAAGCCTCGAAGGTTGAGCCATGAGGGATCACAGAAGCGTTCTGTGGAGAGAACGCCACGCGATCTTGTTGAGCCTATGGATGCTGCTCATGCTTCGGATAGCAGACTACTGTCCTCGGAATATGCAGACGTCAGACTGGGATCAGCCAGAGCAAGTCTTTCTCCTTGGAGTTGCGTGCAGAAGAGCTGGCCCGTGCTCGAGCCGAGCTCAGTGCTCTGTACCGAGAGGAACTGCAGGAAGCCGAAGCGCACGGCACCCATAGATCCCGGACCGGGAAGCAGAACTGGTTCCGAAGGACCATCGCAGACGTGTCATGGGGTGCCCTCCACGAATCAGTGCATCACTGCATCTCTGGAGACCGCCTCACGCAGAGACACGACTAGTGTCCCCTTTGTGCCCGTGGCTACAGGTATGCAGGGAACGAGTGAGAATTCCGTGCTGTCGGTGGGCAGCTGTTGCGGCAGCGCCGCAAGAACTGCGCCGTGGAGAGCCCGAAGCCTTCGAGCACAATGCTTCCAGCGACTCAGCCCAAAGGTTCGGCCGCGCTTGCCTCTGCGTCCTTGATCTGGATTGCTCTCTGGATGCCCCGCCGGAGACTGGCAACGAGGCCACATCAGTGGTTCCACTCTGCCATGCTAGCAAGTGCCGTTCAGGGTTCATAGGTTCTCCTCCCAATAAGGCTCATGACCGACGTTATCCCGACCTTCCTTGCAATAATCAGAGACGACAAGGCCTCACCGGTCCCAAATCCGGTGGCCGTAGGTTCTCGTTGAGTTTCTTCACCTTAATTTTGGTTAGACCTACGGTAGGGGCGAGGGTTTCCTCCATTGCCGTTGTGGAGGAGGGACCCAGGGACAGACATGGTCTGGACTTGGGGAAGCAACACGGCGTAGCGCGCAAAGGCAACCTTCTCACCCCAAACCCCACAAGCGAGCTTTCAACAGAGCGCGTCAACGAGCCCTCCAATCGCCGCAGGATGGCACATGGTATCGAGGGCGATGGCACACCAGCCGAATGCTCAATGCTCTCCGAACCACAATTGTCCCCAAACCTCATCCAGCCCGTAGGCGAGTCCAGCGAAGCCCTTGGAGCACAAGTAGGCCGGAGATGCAGCTCAGGGCACTCTGCTGGAATACTGGAGGGCTTTCTTCAGGGATGCTTCAGGAGTTCATGGCGTGGTGTGAAACTTCTGCCCCTGCTTACGACGTCATCTTCCTCCTTGAGACCCATTGGAGGCCTGTAGAAGACTACCGTAGTGGACATTGGTTGTGCGTCCACACTTCGGGTCTGCAGCTGGGGGAAGAACAAGACAAGTACGCAGGCATTCTTTGCTTACTCTCCAGTCGCACATTCCATGCTCCGAGGGTGCTGGAGCATGTGCCGGGTCGGCTGCTTCAAATCACGGCCACTCATGTGAAGAGTCAGCTCACCACCACCTTGATAGGGCTGTATCAGCACGTCTGGAGGCCCCACCTGGGGCGTGCTGCAAACAAAGCACTGCGCAGTCGAGTGTGGAATAAACTGCAATCCCTTGTTACTTCAGTGCCAGCAAGGCACGCCATGATAGTTCTGGGTGATTTCAATGCCACTCTTAAGCCCTGCCATCCCCATGTAGGTCGAAGTGCACAACAACCTTGACGATGAACTACAACAACTTGTCATGGACTGCAGCCTCTGTGCAGCCAACACTTGGCATGCTAGGCCTTGGACCACCTACACTACCACGAGCACTAGCAGCCAAATAGACTACGCCCTGCTCCGACTTGCAGATGCCAACCATTGTGTCAAACAAGCACGCCCATTGCATCAGTTTCCTGTCGCAGCAGATAGGCATGTAAATCACCATCCGATTCAGGTAGAGCTGCCCCTGCTTCCGGCGGCCCATCGCTTCCACCAAAGACAGCAAGCCAAGCCACAGTTTGACCTGCAGGCGTTGCAGTATGCTGTGGGCACCAGCAGCCCGGCTGCCGAGACTCTTCGTGAAGCCATAAGTGCTAGAATCCAGGCTTGCCCAGCCTCGCTTGATCTTAACCTGATGCACCGGAGAGTAAATGACATCCTGCTGGATGAAACCTGCAAACACTTTCCTTTGGAGCCCAGGGCAGACAACCGGATCAGTGCCAATCCACAATTCCGAGCTTCCGCCAAAGAGACCTGGCGCCTGCATGCCATGCTACAACGCCCGGGCCCAGCTACGCTTCGCGACATCTGGAGCAGATGGCGTCTTGTTGCGGCATTCTTTCGAGCCTCCAAGGCCCTCAGAAAACAAAGCCTGCAGCTCAAGAAGGCCTTCTTGAACGATCAGCTTCTGCAAGCTGAACAGGCCGCTGCCAAAGGCGACCACAGGAACTTGTTCTTAATTGCAAGGCGCCTTGGGCCAAGACCTTGCAAAGACGTGTGCCGCCTGAAAGGCGAGGATGGCCACGTCCTCAACGGTCCCGAAGAGATGCAAGCCATTCTAAAATATAGCAAAGCCACCTTCGCTGCCTTGCCTGACAATATCCCGATGCAGCCATCGACTGGCGCCCTAGACATAAAGGCAGACGACTTGGAGCACGAACTGGCGCATCTCCACCTTCGCAAGGCCGTCCCACAGGGTACTGCTCCCAATGCCTGTTGGAAGCTATGTGCACGAGCTGTTAGCCGCTGCATAGGCCCATGCTTGCAGCGACACTTTGCGGCAAACTCCACGGCCAAGCTGGAGGGCGAACTGCAAGACGCTCAGATTGCGTGGATTCCAAAGCCTAGTAAGCCCCCGACCAGTGTTGAATCACTCAGACCCATCGGCTTAATGCCCCCTTGCGCTAAATCCATAGCTGGCATTTTGGCTAAGCAAATTCTTGTGCACCTTCAGCCGTTGCTAGATCATCTTCCCCAATTTGCTTACACAGCTGGGAGAAGTTGTGGAGACGCAGCCCTCCGAGTTCATGAACATTTTGTTCAAGTCGAAACTCTTCAAAGAAGTCAAGCGGACAACCGATTTCGCAAACGCTTTGGGAGTCCCGCCCTTGCTTGCTTTGGCGGCATGTGTTTATCGCTCGACTTGAGCAAAGCTTTCGATGGTGTTTGTAGGGAGGCACTCGTGCAATCGCTCATTCAGCACAACATACCATCAGACATCATCAACGCTGTCCAGCAGCTCCACAGGGGCGCCAAGTACATCTGCCGCACATCTTCGGCAGAAGGACAGGTTTGCACATCAAATGGAATAAAACAAGGCTGACGAGCAGCGCCAACGCTGTGGATCACTTACACCATTAGTGTGATGGAGGAGCTCATCAGGCGCAGAGGTCTTCTATGGCTGCAAAAGGCGCTCACCTTGTTTGCCGATGATTTCTGCTCTTGCTGGGTTATTGATTCGGTTTCGGCCCTACACAAGGCCTTGGAGGACTTGGCTATGCTGCTAGAGGTGTTGGCCTTGTTCAAGTTGCATGTGAACCTCAAGAAAACTGCTCTCCTGCTTAGCATAAAGGCCAAAGCGGCCAAAAAGCTGCTAGACAAACTTCTGATTCACAAGGCGGGGTCGACTTTCCTCGAAGTCCGTGTAAATGACGATGACCAACTGATCAAAGTTCAGGAAAGCCATGTCTATCTGGGCACTGTACTTGCGTACAGGCGCCGACAAGACCTGAACATCAGTCATCGCATTAGCTCAGCGCAGTCGAGGTACCAGCAGATCCGCAAAGTCCTCAATGGCAGGGGTCCCCTCGCCGCCAGGTGGCGCGTACGACTTTGGAGTGCTTGCATACAGCCGTGCCTGCTGTACTCTGTTGAAGTTGTCGGCTGCACGCTGTCAGGCCTTCAAAGGCTTCGCGCTTTGGCCACCAGGCACCTGCGTGCCATCCTTCGTCAGCCGGCGCACCTGTCACATGTCACCAATGCTGCCATCTGGGCGACTGCAAACCTCAGGCCCGTGGAGCAGTCCATCCGGGCACGCATGTGCAGCCTGCTGGAGAAGCGAAGGCCGCTGCTGTCCTTGCATGGCCCAGATATTGTCTGCAATGAGCAGGTGATCCAGCAGCTCCAGCGGTTGATTGAGGGGTTGGACACTCATATCAGACGTCTTGCTTCACATGAGGTTGCCCGGATTGCTCAGGGTGTGGATGCACCTGGTCAGGACGAGAAAGTTCCGTGCCCTCATTGTGAACTCCAGCTCGCCACGTCGCATGCCCTAACAATCCACCTCTCCCTTAAGCACCCAGAGCGTGTCGGCCCTGCAGCTGCTCAGGTCACAAAGTTTTGCGCGCCACAACATGCGATAGGCGGGATGCCTACCTGTCGGCTCTGTGAGCGAAGTTTTACTAAGTGGCGACAGCTAAAGCTGCACATAGAGTCTGGAGCATGCCCCACTTTGGGAGGAAGCAGCTTCAAGCTGAGTCCTCAGACGGCAGACTATGCCTGCATTGCTCGTGACGCCTCTGAAAAGCCGCCGCCTGCGCATCTGCAAGCCAGTAGAACTGAGACAGTGCCCATGGACTCTGATCAGCCGCTCGTGTTGCGCCAGTCCTTTCACAAACAGCTGAACAGCTGGGAAAACCTTCTCAGCTGCCGTGAGACTCGAACCTTGTTGTCTTCGAGATGCGTTATGTGTAACATGTGGGTTGCCAGCAGTAGACACATAAAGCAGCACTACAACAAGACTCACCATCAGGAATACCCTCAGATTCTTCCCATCACGGAAACATTGTGTCAGTCTTTCAAGGGTCACTTTACACGAGGTAAAACCTGTAAGTTCTGCGGTAGCTGTGTGGGAGCACCCTGCAGGCACACCCTTCAGTGCACAGTCCTTCACCAATTGTGTTTGGCTGTTACTTTCTGTCGGCAGGGTCTGCGCCACCAAGACGATGGCAACAAGTCAGAGCGGCCTGGAGTCGGACATCTTCCAGTATTGCATGCCGTCAGGGCAAGAAGCCACAGCATCCCCCGCCCCTCCGGCTCAGACTTCCAAGCGACAAAGACCGAACCCACAGGCGAACTTCCGAGGAAGCCACCAACCATTCGGTCCCTCCTCTCAGCAAGCGCCACTCCCAGCGGCACCGATCCAAGACCCAGCTCTCAGACTGATGGGCAAGCTGCTGTTAAAGCACGAAGAGGCCCTTGCAATGCAGCGCAGGGAGAAGAACTTCGTGCTGTTCTTCCGTCAGGATCAGCACAGCCTGCTGCCAAATCTCATGAAGGTTTCCCGGGATTGGAACCAACGTCGGGATGCGGGGGATCAATCTCTCACGAGTCCATTGAGAACGGTTCTTCTCGGGTGCCTATTCAAGGAATTGCTGGCCCGCCTCCAGCAAGTGGTGGCCACAGATCCGGGCCGCGAGGCTCTGAAGAAGTCGAAGTGGATCGACGAGCAAGGAGCGTGGAACTACCTTCGCTGGTCTGCAAAGGAGAAAAGACTGGTGGTAGACGAAAGTCGCGAACCTCTCGGTCACGCGGAAGCAGCTCGAGTCTTGAACAATCTGCACAGCCTCATGAAGGGCAGCATCATCCAGAAATTCGGCTCCACCAAGGCTCTTTGGAAACTGGAAGACCAGGGCTATCAGCAGGCCACGTTCTACTTGGAAATTGCGCTACGGGGCAAGGAAGCGGAGGAGGTACACATGTACTACAGCACCCTCTGTGGCTCGGCGATCACCAATTTGGCGGGCTTCTCCATGAAGGTGGACGACATGCCGCAGCAGGCACTCGCGAAGCAGCTGGCAGCCATCACTTACACGCGAGGCCCGACCCGCATCTCGGGCGTAAGCCACGTGACCACACGTCCAGCCCTGAGGTACCCACTGACAGTAGGTCCCCACAGCGATCCCAGGTTCGCATAACTCTCCAAAACCCTGGCAATCACTGCTATATCAATGCCTGTGTGTACTGTTTGCATATCATTGATACAGTTCTGGGTCAGAGAGTGCTCCCGAGCGCTTTCCGTGCATCACAGAGCAGGCCATTGATGGCCTCACGTGCCTTGGGGTTTTGCCTCCTGGGGTGGAGGAGGCCTCACTCCCAACATGATGCGGCAGAATTCTTGGACTTTCTGTTACCAAAGCTTGTTCCCTGCAATGCCCAACTGCAGTGGGAAGCTAGATTTCAGCGGCCAGGCGGGGTTCGCCGCGATGATGGCGCTGCGCTCAACCGTTGTCTGTCCCATAGTGGCATAAACCCCGCCTGGCCAGAGCTTCAAGCTCTCCTCAACAGGTGGCATCATCAAGATGCGGCACATGCTTTAACAAGTGAGGCGCCGTGGATCTTTCTTCAGCTCCCTAGAGGTTCAGGTGCAGAGGGTAGTTTGAGCAAAAGGAGAGATCCCTACCTGCTGCAGGAACACCTGCTACTGCCCATTTTCTGTGACGCCTGTTCCGTTGAGGTGCGATGGGTGACGTACAAGATACAAGCAATGATAGTGCATCATGGCGAGTCCTTGTCCACAGGACACTACACCGTGCTGGCATATGAGGGGAATCATGCAATCGTGCTGGACGATGCGAAAACCGTAGTCCGTGCGGAACAACCAGAGCTGGAGCATGCATCATGTAACATGTACATCCTCCTTCTCTCCTCCGTCAGTGGAAGTGCGCAGCAGACAGTTTGAGACAACTGAGAGCATCCACGCTAGAACAACTTCTTTTTAATCCAACTTTTGGGTTACGGCCTGCAAGGCGCTACGGCGCGAGGTTCCTGCCGAAAGGGCACTAGTACTAGCTGCCTTGAGCAGCCGAGATGCAGAAGTCATCTTGAGGGGCGCTCGCTAGCTGGACCGTCTTTCGCACTCCCAGCTGCGTTGGAAGAAAAAAAAAGATGATGATGATGATGATGGTGCTGCTGATGCTGATGATGATGCTGATGCTGATGGTGATGGTGATGGTGATGATGATCATCGATGATGCTGCGCTGCTGATGAAGATGCTGCTGCTGACGGTTGTTGTTATGATTAGTATGTGTTGGGTTACAGGTGGTTAGCAGAGTTTATGGCTTGCGGGGCTAGAGGGACCTGACTCTGGAGTCCACAACTCAAAGCTCAAAGAACCCCAGGGGTTGTACCAAGTCCTAACGCATGCAACACCTACTCGTTTAAGCGAAGGACCGTGACAGACCCGGTAAGAACTTTCACAAACATCACAAATGGGCTCCTAACCCTCCCCCCCCTGCCGCACCATAAACCCGAAACCCCTAGTGCAACGGCACGGGGGAGTAAAGGTGAGGTTTAGCATTTGGTGGGGAGGGACTATGAATGAGGAGGGCTTGTGGAGTTTGGGGTGTTTGTTTCGGATGGCCTCTTAGGCAACTGTCGCTCACCTCGTGTCCTTCCGATTTCACTGCTGGCTCAGGAGTGGTACCAAACAGCCAACCAGCCAACGCTAGTGCGAGCAACTCACCGTCCGTAGACCCTAAAGACCAAAGTAGATCGAACCTTAACTCGGATCTGCTATTCCATACGTCTATGCTCTGTAGGTAGAGTCTCTGGTGCTTCGGATTTAGGGTTTAGGTCGTGGGCTGCAGGAGTACAACGTCCGAACACTGAACTCGACATATTGAATCCTGAAGCGCCGAAACCCTGATGCAAATGGCAGCATCGAGCAATTCCCAGGCGGCACTTCTCGGGGCATTTGGGGCCTAGTGATCCTGCGCTCTGCAAACCCTAAACCCTAAACCCTAAACCCTAAACCCTGGGTACCCTCAGCCCTGAGTCCCCAAACCTGCACTTTGGAGGCTTCAGTCAAGAGACTCACTGTCCGTCCTGAACTTGATCTGCCCTGGACCTGACACCCCACCGTACTCATTCTTTACAAGTCCTAAACCTAAAAGCTTCTTCAAACTTCCCCCAACGTTTTGAGGGAGGTTCAGCCTTGGAGCCCAAAGCCCCGCAAACGCTCATCTAGCTGCATGGGACTCATCTAGCTAGGTCTTAGGGGTGTTCAGGGATTTAGGCTCATGTTAGCCGGACTCTAGGTAGGTAGGCCCTTGGGACATTTTGCATGTTCCCTTTTTGGTTTTAAAAATGGATCACATTCAGGACTCTTCTTCCAAGGGTTTTAAGGGCCATCCTAGAACTGTCTTTGTGGCAAAACGTTCATGTAGTCTGTTCACAGTTCAGAGCTTCGGTTTCGACTTTCGGAAGGATTTGGCAAGAGAAGCAGCGCCCCTAATGCCAAAGCCCTCAGCGCGCATCAGGGCTTTGGCATGAATTGTTGCGCAGTCCTTTATAAGACAGGTTTTTTGGGCTTCAACAGGGTTTGCCCCAGCTGTTTGGGGCGAGTCTGGTGTGCCCCAGGTTCTTGAAGAGGAGTTTGCCAGGCATCCTAGGAATTTCGGAAGCCTGAATTCTTGGACCCTGTCTTGGCCAGGGATTACGTATCTGTTTTCTGATTGCGCGCTGTGGAAATTGGGATGGCTGCTATCCAGGAACATAGGGGTGTAAGTGGGAGGCGATGGCTCGAGAAGATCTTCCCCAGCTTCTCTGCACGTTCCAACATCTAGACTCTCAAGTGAGAGCTCCGGCTGGACTTAAGTTACCACTACACTTCCGTAGCAGAAGAGGGCAATCAGAGTGAAACCCATCATTCAACTCATTGCGGTTTCGTTTCTGCACACCATGGCGCTATGAACTAACATAGCCGTCTGCGGTTCGCAGGGCGTAGGCTTTAGGATTTAAGGTGAGTTTTCGGCGCCTGCCATGGCGGCCCGCAAGGCAAGGAGGCAGCATGCAGGCACCTTTGCTTTGACTTGAGCGACCGCATCGTCGACCCAACAGCCACGATCCCGAAATCCTGAATCCTAGAACGCTCGGCCAGTTTGGAGTTACTTCGTTATACCCTTGCCGAGCAACATCCTGTGCAGCCTTAGGGCCTAGGATCGTCGTGCTCCTCGGCCCAACCGAAAGCCTTACAGCCCCTAAAGCTCTAGAACCCAAAAACACAAAGCGACAAGCCACCAAAGCTGACGGTTTACTACGACTGCTTAAGAACCCCCCCCCCCCAAATCCATATATTGCATTGCGGGCGCCCACTGCCATTGCCCCACTTGCCCCAAATGCCCCACTTGCTTTACCGGAAGAGCTAATCGAGGTCACCCCACTTGCCCCATTTGGTCGCCCGGTAGAGCTAATTGATTTTGCCCCACTTGCCCCACTTGCCCCACTTGCCTCACTTGTTCCCGCGCCCTGACTTGTCCTACTTGCCTTGTCTGCCCCACTTGCCCCACCTGCCTCACCCACTTCAGGGGCAAGTGGGGCAAGTGAGGCAAGTGAGGCAAGTGAGGCAAGTGAGGCAAGTGAGGCAAGTGAGGCAAGTGGGGCAAGCGGGGCAAGTGGCAGAAATTGCTTCGCGGCCCACACAGGGGCAAGTGGGGCAAGTGGGGCAAGTGGGGCAAGTGAAGTGGGGCAAGTGGGGCAATGTCGTTTTCCACCCAAGGACCAGAGCAAGTGGGCCAAGCGGGGCAAGTGGCAGAAAACACTTAGCAGCCCACTTTTGCACGCCCACTGCTATATTACCCTTTTCAGGAAGAATGTTTTTTGTATGTTATTCTTTTTTGGGGATTTCTTAAGGAATTAGTAGTTTAGGGTTTATGGTTTAAGGCCCTTGGCCCCCAGGTTTGGCCCTGAATCCCTGAAGCCTTGAACTAAAGACGTAGAACCCTAAGCCCTAAACCCTACACCCTGCACCCTACGCCCTACACCCTGCACCCTACACCCCAAAGCCTAAAGCCTAAACCCTAAACCCTAAACCCTAAGCCCTAAGCCCTAAACCCTAAACCCTAAACCCTAAACCCTAAACCTAGACCCTAAACCCTAGAGCAAAGCCTCCAATTACCCCAGGCGCTGCCACGCTCATCGTCGCTTCTCTGGTCTTTCGGCCGCTGACGTTTGCAGCACCGGGGACGAGCGACAAGGACTGCGGAGACGGAAAGGCTCAGGTTGCCATATGAGGTCCTAATCCTACCGTCTGGGGGTTGAACTTGCCAGGGTTTCGGGCTATGGGTGTATCGGGGTTTAGGGCTTTTAGAGGTCTTATTGCGGTTTAGGGCTTTCAGGGGGTCTGAGAAGGGTTTCGGGCTGAGTAGCAGGGCACGGGGCTTGGGATGGTTTAGCGTTTAAGGTTGAACAGGGCTTCGGAAAGGATTTGAGGATGAGTTCTTGATGTCTGCTGGCTTGAATGACGTGTTTTTTTTTTCTCGGTGGATTCGTGGGAAATCTTCCGGCTCTGGCTGCTTCAGGTCTAGAAGTTCAGACTTTACAGAGTTTCTGGTCAACGGCTTCGCGGCTTATGTTTTCAGGGCTTCACCTGAGAAGCCTAGACCAGACCCCCCCCCCCCCCCCCCCGGCGCACGAAACAATACCCCTCTCAGCCGAAGCCCGAAGCCCGAGGCAAACAGGCTGAAGCGGCAGCCCTACGCCAGAAGCCCAACTCGTATAAGCCCAGTGTCGTAAACCCTAAACCCTAAACCCTAAACCGGTGTCGGGTTTAGGGGTTCGTGGTTTTTCGGCTTCAGGGTTCTTAGGGGTTGCACGATAAATACGAATCAAACATTCGAGGGGGTAGGGGCGCTTCCTTGCTTTCATCGCCCCGCGTCTTGCTTGGTGACAGCAGCTCTACATGAACCCTACAAACCCTAAAAACCCTAAAAACCCTAAAAACCCCCAAAACCCCCAAAACCCTAAACCCTAAACCCTAAACCCTAAACCCTAAACCCTAAACCCTAAACCCTAAACCCTAAACCCTAAACACCCCGAACTTCTAACGGACCTGGCCCTGCGCAGGCCAAGATAGAGCGCCTCGAGCTGCATAACTTGTTGGACCTTTTGAGATTTGGGTTCAGGGTTCAGGGTTTAGGGTTTAGGGTTTAGGGTTTAGGGTTTAGGGTTTAGGGTTTAGGTGGAAACGAAAGAGGGGTCACCCTTTTTTGGGGGGTCCCTTTACGGGGCTCTATAAAAAAGGGGTACCCCTAGTTTGGGGAAATCTGGTCCCTTTAAGGGGCTTCTATAAAAAAGGGGTACCCCTAGTTTGGGGAAATCTGGTCCCTTTAAGGGGCTTCTATAAAAAAGGGTACCCCTAGCTTGGGGAAATCTGATCCCTTTAAGAGCGGCTTCTATGAAAAGTGGATACCCCTAGTTTGGGGAAATCTGATCCCTTTAAGGGCTTCTATGAAAAGGGGTACCCCCAGTTTGGGGAAATCTACATTTGGGTTTGCTCAGACCAAGGTTGGGAGTTGAGTTAGGGTCTTCAGGGTCTAGGGAGCTTGGGAGTTCAGCTTTGGAATTTCACGATTGCAGGAGCCCTCAGCCCTGAAGAAGGCTCTTCGAGGTTGAGGAGTGGCAAGGACACAGGATCTGCAGAGGTTTCGGGGCGCGCTTGCACTGCGTAGACCAAATTTCTGAGGTTCTACACTATGGACATGCCACTTGGCAGCTGCACATTCAACCCGAAACAGCAAGAGCCTGACAAGCCTATAGACCCCCAAACCCGACATCTTTAAACCGAAGGGCTTGTACTTAAAACCCCCTCCTCCGTCCTTAGGAATGCCTAGGTGCATCATATTTTTTCTTGCAAGTCGTTTCTCTAATCTACTGCGCCACGAATTCAACTGGTAACCTCTAAATCGCAAACTTTCCCTCAGACCAGTTCCGAACCAAGTCAAAAAACCCGAACCCACTTCTCATTTTCAGATTCGCTGCGGGCATGGGAAAAAATTATCAGCGGCGGATAGATTCCGATGACCGCCACGGAAGGGTCATCATGTGCGGCCGTGCTTGGGAGTTTGCGACCTAGGTGTCCATATGCCCAGAGGACCTGGATTACACTTGAGGAGAAGGGTGTCCCTTACAAGCGCACAGTCGTATCGAGGCGGCACCTTGCCGGGTTCGCTGTCGAGATTCGGGTTAGGCCCTATAAAAGCCTTAATCAACCGAACTCCCATAAACCCTTCAAGTTTAGGTTTGGGGTTGCGACTTCGCGGGCCTTAAAGACACTCACCGCCTTTGAAGGTAAACGTGCGCAACTCCACGGAGCGCGAGTGGTATGTGAAGAACGTCAACCCTTTGGGGAAGGTGCCGTCCATTCGCGACCTGACGGACGGAACTGTTCTCTACGAGTCTGAAATCATCAACGACCCCTGGCGCAGGATCTGGGTGCGAAGGCTAAGACTCCTTGGCTCCGCGGTTTTCAGGTCAGGGTTTTCAGGGGCAAGGCTCTGCATTTCTGAAACCGGAAGCTAAGTGATACACTCAAGTTGCCCGAGGGCAGGTCACGAAACATCAACATAGTTGGCGTTGTGCTCTGATCATTCCTTGGGTTGACTCAGCCCTGGAATCAGCCTGTTTTTGTTTCAGGAGTACCTTGAGCAGAAATTCGCCGATTCTGGCCCAGCTCTGATGCCGCCTTCCGCCAAAGGGGCGGCTTCCGTCCGACTGTGGAACCATCACCTGAACAACAAGCCCCTTGGCCAACGAGGGCTGGTGGGTTTGGGGTTTGGGGTGCAGGGGCGTTTTGTGCATACCGTTTGGACTTTGCGTGCGCTTCGCGCACAAGCGTGGCTTGCGCGCAGGCTGAGACTCGGGGCATGAAGAGTTGGTTCAGCTTTGTGAACCAGAGGTTGGCTCCAGCCCACTTCACCTTCTTGATGAACAAGAATGCCACAGCGGAGACTTGACTCTCCAGACTCGACACTGCGCGGGAACCCAAAGCTCCTTCCGTTGTTTTTTTTCGGCCGTCAACGTTTTACCCTGACGGAATGCCGACACACACACAAAAAACTCTTGAACTCAAGCCTTTAAAGTCCAAGCGTGACATGTGTAAGCCCTACCCCCATCCCGGTGCAAAGTGGCTCAGGATCCGGAGAAGATTCAAGCGCTCGAAGAGGCGCTCCAGTACTACGAGGAGCCTCTAGGGGACGTCAACTTTCGGCCACTAAACTCTTGCTAGGACCAAGAGTAGGCCCTCATTCCCTTTTTTTTTTTTTTTTGGGGGGGGGGGGGGGTTTGGGTTCCCTTATAAGCCCCTTTAAACCAGAAGGGCACCCTTGTTATTCCTGGGTTGCTCTTGGGTCTAGTTTGTCAAGCCCGAATCCGCGACACGAAGTCCCATCTTCCTGAGTCCTGTGCCTGTACCCTAAGGCCCCCCGCCCCCCATGCCAGAAACCCCCAACTCTGAACCCTTTCAATCCGTAAACTCGAATGCGTAAGACATTATGCAAACGCTTGTCAGAGTTTTGGGTTCCGGGTTGATGTTCATGCTTCGGGCTCAGGGGTTCGGACCTCCGTTTGAAGGAGAACTTGAAGGGCCCTTTCCTGCTTGGTGACGACTTCACGCTTGCAGATGTCAGTGCCTGGGCGGGCACTAAACTACCGCTTGTTGGGCTGGCGTCTCTGCTGGGGTTTCAGGAGCTACAGTCCCTAAGCCTGAGCTGAACTTGGGCCCTCTTAATGCGGACTTAAATCGAGGGCCATCGGCCCCTCATTACCGTGAGTTCCGCAGCTTCCGGCTATGTAAGCAGACTGTTGCATGCCAACCCCGGCGAGTTTTAAGGTAGGGCTTCAGTGTTCAACCCGTTCAGCCATTCAGGCCCTTGAACACTATCTTGCCATCAAGCTGGCGCTAGGTGCTCTGCCTTTTTTCGAGCGCCTCATCTTCTCTTGCCGGCGCTTCAAGGACGGGGTAACGTCTATTCCCACCATTCATCTCCGCCCCGAAGAATCCCGCAGAAAATCAGACAGCATTTCCCTGGAATGCTCACCCAGAATCCCACAAAGTCTCCCTGCAGCACCCACTTCCAGAAAGTTCTGCAAGGAGTCCCGCAGAGCATGCTTGCACCCACCTCCAAAGAATCTCTCATCAATTATCCTTGTGGAGCGCCACCAACCTCCACAACTCATGAGCCACCATGAGCAAGAGTCATTACTCTTCTTGTAGCTTTCCAGGGCTTGTCAGAATAGGGATTCTTACCAAGGGTTCTGTAGGATTTACGAGCATGGGCTTCGGGGTCCCTGGGAATGGCTTCAGCGAGAGCAATTGCTAGACTGTCGTTTTGGGTACAGGGCAACGGTATGAAGATCGAATCCCTCTGCAGACCCCTGAGCCTCTGAAGAGCTACGTACCCGAGCTTCAAGGTTAGCTGCTAGCCCACCTGAACCCTTAAACCCCCAGACGCCGTACACCCAAGAGATCGGGCTTTGCATGTCAGGGCTTATCAGGTTTTGGGACATGCTATAAGGGTTTCTCAGGCTTCTGTGATCCGCTGAAGCCCAAATAGCACACGGCGAAACACCCCCTAGCAGCCCTACTCCAAACGCATTCGAGAAGCCCTAAACCCTAAACCCTAAACCCTAAACCCTAAACAAAGCCTTCGGACTCTGAGCGGTCGCACTCGGGGCGTTGAAGTATTTCAACGTGTTGCGAGGTAATGTTGGGTGGGAGGTTCAGGACATTTTCCGGAAGCTGAGCCTAAATCAAGAACAGCGCAGGGACTCGGCGGGGTGAGGGCTCTTCGGGTTTAGGGTCAGGTTCTTCCCGGACGTTTGAGTTTAAGGGCACGGTGCTTGAGGGCCTGGCGGTTCTTCATTTAGTTCTGCACTGGCGAGGACTATGAAGTTCCGCACCTCGCCTTCTCATAGAATTCGAAGCCATGGCTCCGTTTTTTGACCTTGTGTCCGAAACCTTAAGCCCTGATTGCAGCAGCAAGCTCATGAAACATGTGACCGTTTTGTTTTTCTAGGAAGTGCTTCATGCTTCGTTCTTCCCAAGATTTCCTGGCTGGAGTTCCGCCCTCACTTCCCGTTAAAGGGAAACCTTGAACCTGGTTTTGTTTAGGGCCTCATCAGCAACAAAACCCTGGCTTTACTGCTGTAGACTTCGAACACCGGTTTCCTGCACTGGAGGCATTGACACACGTGGGAGAATCGAGGCAAAGAAAGGCCTAGACGGTTTACGGTTTAGTGGCTTGGGGTTTTGTGAGATGTTTTCCAAGGAAGTGGAAGTTAAGCCTGAGGGGAGTGGCTCTCATGCCCAGGCCGCGAATGAAACGCCTTTTGAAATGGCTGGACACGGCCATGAGTCAGCCGTCTTTTCTGGCGACGAAGAGGACGCTGGAGTGACAAGGGGGTCTGAGCCCGAACCCGGAAATTGTTTACTTGCAGCAGCGTATCAGCAGGGTGTAGAGGTGCAGGGCTGTAGGGGTTACAGGTGGTAGGCTGTAGAGTGTAAGGATTGAAAACAGCACAGCGCACAGATAGCTGGTGCGTACGATCATTTTTCGCAAATCCTGCTCGCGTATCTTCTGTTCCAGGGATCCCGTTCTGCTACTCGCAGGCCCGAAGACCAGCTGGAAGAAGTCTATCAGCGATTTCTGTCTGTGAACTACGCGCTGCTCGGCAGCAGGTGTGTCGGATGTTTGGCGGGACTTTTTCAGATGCTCTCGACATGGGCAGTGCTCTAATTTAGAGTCACTTGCCGGGTCCTTTTTCTAAGGGTGCCGTACTCTCTTGAGGACCCAAAAAAGGGACCCTAATTTAGAGAGCCACCCACATACAAGCGTGATCCGACGGGTGCTCTTCGCCGTTCTAATTGCAGAGTGCACCATGTTATTTCCCAAAATCCGATCCGAAATCCCTGAATCCTGACACGCTGCGTACCGTCAGCCCACTCAAACCCTAAACCCTATGCCCTAACACCTTAACCCTATGAAATTGAGAACGCCTCTCGTTGTCAGGTTTGGTGGCCTCAACCGGAACTAGGAATGAAACGTGGTGCAGGCGCCATGTCAGAGCTGCTTTGTGCAAGGGTGAGTGATGGGATGGGGAAGGTTGCAGGGCTCATGACAGTTGCTGATTTTAGCGTTTTGGATTTAGGGTTGAGGGTTTGTGGGATTAGAGCGATGCGAACCTTGAAACTTTGAGGCCTGCATTTTGCTTTCCTGGGCTTAGAGTCAAGCTGATTCCGTCTTCCGGGAGCCCACAGCCCTACCAAGCCACCAGCCCCTGAGTTCAGGACTCTGGAGTCCATGGCAGTGGCTGTGACGGCCGTGGGTGAGTTTTCAAAAAGAGTTCGGTGAGGTCGTTTGGGGTTTGGATGGCCCAAAAACCCTACTCTACCGACTCATTCCGATAAGACCCCCGACCCCCTTGATCATGAAATCGATATAGCAAACCCTAAGAACAAGACCCGCAAAGTTAGGAGGCTTCCGGGTTTTACACTCTGCCTTTCTATCACCTCTGTGCAGCCTTTTGTGGCTTTGAAATTGTGTGCCGTCCTTGGCCTTGGCCGGTTGGACACGAAGGTGTAAACTTAACGCGCCAAAAACATGAATGCCACGTAGCCCTGTAGCGGAACCTATCAATCCTATCCTCCCAAATTCGATACTCCGAAAGTAAAGAATTCTGAACCGCCCCCAAACCCAAGTCCCTCACGAAGCAGCAGCCCACACGATCGATTCACCCGGACGTCTCAAGAAGCTCAAGCCTCCTTCTGGAAACTCTGCTTGTTCTTATGCTTTACCTGGGGTTTAGGAACCCGGAAACCTGAGTTCCAGCTACAAGCTTGGCCGGCATGCCCCCACTTGGGGGCTTTAAAGGAGTTTATAGTTTATAGACAGGTTTAGAGTTTACGGGAAGCAGATGGCGCACGAGCGGCGGACGATGAGGTGGCTTGGCACAGATGATCCGGCAGGCAGAGTGAGTCTTTGGGGGCGTGCCGCTGAGTTTAGCCAAACGTTTAGGGTTTAGGGTTTAGGGTTTAGGGTTTAGGGTTTAGGGTTTAGGGTTTAGGGTTTGGTGTTCAGGGTGTAAGCCCCAAGCTCACAAAGTCGAACATCCCCCGCACCCTCTGAACAAGAACCCAAGTGGACCCAAGCGCCAAAAACCTTCAACCCTTTCAATAGCCCTCCAAAAACCTGTCAGCCCTTTAAGTTCTAAATGCCCTAAATCCTTTCAGCCCTACTCCAAACCCTACACCCTACACCCTCAACCCTACACCCTACACCCTACACCCTACACCCTGCACCCTACACCCTACACCCTACACCCTAAACCCTAAACCTACACCCTGGAACCCGAAACCCTCAGCACCCTCGTCAAACCCAAGTCCAAGCCTGGGCCGTAAAGCTCTCCGCGCCCCGAGAGGTCACCACTGGCGTTGGCCGCGGCCGCGTCGGCTCTGGGCTTTGCACCTGCCTTCTGCACCTGGGCTCCGCTTCACGGCACAGTCTCTGGGGCACTTGGGTTGAGGGTTTAGTGTTTAGGGTGTAGGGTTTAGGGTTTAGGGTCTAGGGTTTCTGGTATTCAGGGTAGTTTGGGTATGTAGGCTTAGGGACAAGCAAAGTCGCAACAATGTGGCCTCCTTCTCAATATCCAGATGTTGGGAGGCCGTGTGTTTCAACAGGAACCCCAAGCGGGACCATAGTTTAGAGAACTGACCTGTTGACAAGCAGGGCTTCAGTCCCAAAACCTTCAAGCCAAGCCATATAGAGGCCCCAGAACACACACGCAAACACAAACACACTTAGATACTCTCTGAACAGCTCATGCTGGCATCGTGGCATCGTGGCATGAAAAGCGGAGGGATGCATGTGAGCCGCAGAAGCAAACCCCGTTCCGGTCATGCATGATGCATCATGTGCAGCCAACACGTGCTATGGTCAACAGCGATTGCTTCCGGGAACAAGCTTCCACTGACACAAAGTCACGCTGTGGGTTTGATGGAGTTGGTAAGAGGTCAGAACCTGCTGAAACCTCTAGAGTCGAGTCATTCAGTTACAAACAGGCACGCCCGCACCCACTCCCACTCGCATTCCCACACCCACACCCCACACACACACACTCGCACTCGCACTCGCACTCGCACTCGCACTTGCACTCGCACGCATACACACGCATGCACGCGCATACACATGCATACACACGCATACACGTGCAGAAGCCCTGGGTCCATCGGCCTCATTCTGATCCTTCACGAGGCCAAAGTTGCAGAGGCATTTTCCGGCCGGGGCCCAGGCGACCGCTGCTGGTCGGCTCAATATAGGATTTTGGACTCAGGTATAGCGCTTTAAGTTGAGAGGGATGCTGTTTATAGGGTTTCACCGTGACCAAGTCCCGCATGAGCCCAGAGGCTTCGCGTGAGAGCTGCGTGCTGTTGGGAGCTTTGGGTTTAAGGTTAGGCCTCGGCAGCAGTCCTTCTAGGGATTTTGCTTGGGGAGACCTGTGCGCGGGGATGGTGGCAGGTTCACACCACCGCGCCTCCGTCCGCCCCCCCCCCTTTTCCGGGCAAAAGGTTTGGAGATGTGCATCTTTCAATGGGACTCTGGGGACGGCTTTAGGCAGCACCGAGGAGAAGATTCTACCCTATAAGCCCTACATATTCCCATCAGGGGTTAGATTTTGGGTTGAGGGCTGCAGTTTCTCCAGCCTCCTGCGCTGTGGAGTGCCGATGCCCCTATACATACCGTAAAAACCGCCCCCCAAACCCTATACACACATGGCTCGCCCCATTCCACCACTGCAAGATCCATGTGTCCGGAAGCCCGTATTACTCTTGTATGAGGCTATACCGTATCATCCTTTAGCTCTCGCCTGAATTTAACCTTACGGCCTGAAGAGCCGCAGAAGCCTTCAACCGCGCTTTGCGTTCCGGAGGCCAGGCAGCCCTCTCGCCCGCTACGCGGCGCCGCCACTGTTGGACCTCTACACCTCGATACTGGGGTCCATGAATTCGGTTTCGTTTTCAGGGCTTGCAGGGTCGGGACTCGCTTTGGCGACTGTGGCAATCAGCAAGGCTGCTGGTGTACTTTCACCCTTCCAGACAACTCGTAGCACTTTGCTTCCCTCTGCTCAGCCCTAGACAGGGGCAGGCTCTGAATAAAATGCAAGTAGTATAGGGACCCCCAAGCCTACCCCTTTAAAGCCCCTGAATAAGAAGTAAGTAGTATAGGGCCCCCCAAGCCTACCCCTTTAAAGCCCCCGAGCGCTGATCTCGCTGCCTGCCCAGGAAAGGTGTCGTCTCAGCACCCATGCCCCAGCTGCCGGCGGGCAAGCAGCCCTTTGGCCTTTAGGGCTGAGGGTAGGGTTTAGGGTTTAGGGTTTAGGGTTTAGGATTTAGGGTTTAGGGTTTAGGGTTTAGGGTTTAGGGTTTAGGGTTTAGGGTAGAGGGTAGGTTTGAACATGATTGTTGCATGTTCATGACCCTTCGCCCCTTTTTCATCCTTATACAGCCATAAAAGTCAGAGTTGGAGCAAGAGAGGATTTGGGGTCGACTGGTTTGGGGCAACAATGTTCAGGGTTGAGGATGGAGGGAGTTAGGGTTTGGCGGGCTCAGGGTACAAGGTATGGGTGGTTTTCTTTAGGAGTTTGGGGTCTGACTTGAGGTATTGTATTGGGTTCAGATACCCGCAACTTGGAGTTGGGTGATTGGGCGATTTGCAGAATATCAGTTTAGTTCCCTAAAGCAGGCTTAGGCCTTAGGACTCGTCCCTCGTCCCATTCGGCCACTGGTAGCTGTCCTTCATTTGTCTTCCACCACCCACAGAGGCACTAGGGACAGGGTTAGAGTGATTAGAGATCTTTGGTTTAAGTGGTGGCTTTTCACTTAGGTTGGATAGTTTGGAGCTTTTCGGTTGGATCTGTGGTTTATGAGATTTTTGGTTTGGGGCGTCAAAGGGTTTGCGGGTTTAGGTATAGAGATGCGTCACTTGCAAGGTCGGTCTTCGAGGGGCTGCCCCTCCTGCAGACGCTTCTCTGCCCTGGGGGCGGGGGAGAGCCCCCAACCTCAATACGCGCATGTTTCTACCACCAAGTTGACCGGAGGCTGCAATTGAAGTGATGACACAAGGGATAGGAGCACCGCAGGGCTTCTAGGGTTAGGGTTCCTGTCAATTTCTGCTCATCAGGTAAAAAGGCGGTCAGCGTGTGAGTGTGTGTGTGTGTGTGTCTCTGTGTGTGTGTGTGTGTGTGTGTGTGTGTGACTGTGTGTGTGTGTGTGGTCTGTGTGCGTGTCAGTGCGTCTGCGTCTCTGTGTGTGTGTGAGGTAGCCGGGGCGAAGTTCCGTCCAACAGGGCGCTCAAGCCCTGAAGCCAACTCCCGCTCGTGCGTCCAGTCTTCAAGCTGGCATAACCCGTACAATGGTCACGGTCACTAGCCGCATTAGCCGTTTTGTCCTTCACAAGCTCGCTCAAAAGAAGCTTGAAGAACCCTAAACCCTAAACCCTAAACCCTAAACCCTAAACCCTAAACCCTAAACCCCAATTCTTTTGCTTACATCACGAAGGACCGATGCTGTTGGAGATCCGGGTTTGGGCGCGCTCCTGACCCAATTTGCCGGTCGATTGGTGCCTCAGTTTGGCACAGAAGGTCGGAAGGATCATTGAGCATTGTGTTTGGATCCTTGTTGAGCTGTTGTGTTTGTGTGCAAGGCTGGATTTGAGATTCGGGTGGCACGGTGGGGATTATGCAAGAGGCAGGCAGTCTCGAAGATACATTACCTTAACTTAGAACGACCGCCCACGCAATAACATGAATTCTTGGAAGTCTGCGAGATTTTCAGGAAATGTGCTTAGAGGATCGGGCTTGCGGTTGGGGAGTTTGGGGCCAAGAAGTTTGAAGAATGTTGATCAAACCGCTTCAGCCCGCATGCTAAGCCAAACCACGGTTCTAGCCCTGAGCACAGCCTCAATGTGAAATGACAACCCCTGCAACTGCAATGCTGGATCCTAGTCTCAATCCTGCCCCACGACATCAAGAGTAACCATATGGTTACCAGACCGTTGCCACCCTCTCAGCCCTCATCTAGACCGTCTCTGGAATGGCGAGGGAAGCATCCCCAGCCCTCCTGAAAACCCCGTTCGCTTTTGCATCTCAAACGTGTCACAAATCTCGGGCGGCCGGAGTTTGGCGTACGATAAAGACATGCTGCGTTGCTTTGGCTCACATGCTATGGGATTTTCGACTGGGCAGCTTTGTCATGCCTGCTTTTGAATCTAAGACGTATCCTTGCGTGCACCAGGCTGGTTATGCTGCTGCTGATGATACGGCCTACCTTCGTGGTTTAAGATGCTTTCGTTCCACAATGCGTGTCGGGTGTCTAGTTTGTTGTTAGTGGCCGGCTATGGAAATTATTACTGTGACGCAGTGAGGACTGAGCAGCCCTTGCAAGTCACATTTGTGCAGTGCATCGCCTCCCAGCACGCAATGGCCACCAACAACAGCATTCAATCTTGCATGTTCAGGTCACACCTGTGAATCCGCAAGCTGCGGCTGCACTTTATGCAGTACCTGAGCAGAGGCTAAAAGCTGTAAAGGGGCTCCGGCCACCCTGCCCTGCGTAAGCTGACGGCCCGCGCCCGTGCGCGTAAGGCACACCCAAGGGTCCGTGTAATCAACAACCCTTGACCACGTTCCGCGCAGGCTTGTGTTAGGCTAAGTTGTTTGGGGTGGATTTCTGCTTCTTGGAATCGAAAGATGCGATTGTTAGCTCCGTTGCAGGCTTGATAAGGAAAGGGTTGATACGTACCGCGGATCCTAGCAATGTGTAGAAGTTCGGATATGGGATGTTGACAACGCTCACATGGCTTTTTACTTGATCGTCGCCAGCATTTAAGGCATCAGAGACGCTTGGAGCGTGGGGCTGTTAATTCGCTTCAAGTTAATCAGGGGCTGCTGCACCAAAACGCTAAAAGACTAAACTCTGAAAGCGATCGCTGGACCCATCAGGCCCTATCCATGCCCTTTGTCGAGTTGTGCAAAGTTGAGTGCTCGAACGGCTTAGGGGTGCTTTCTTTCGCTGAGCATGGTTCCTGTTTTTGATGAGTATGTGCTTTTCTTGCATCTCAACGTCCTGAAGCTCAAAACTCTTAGTTTGCTCGACCCCGTATTCGAGTTTTGTACATGTTGTTCCTGAGAACTGCCCCCTCAATCTCTTAGGGTTTGAGGTTCAAGGGCCTGGGTCAGCATAAATTCCCGATGCACGCGTCAGAGGATGTTGCGATAAGCAGCAAGCGTGGTGTGGTTTTGTGGTGTGAGCTCGCCCATGGAGATTTGATTGAGTGAATGAGTCCCCGCGTACGTGAGAGCGAAGAGAGAGACATTCCTTCTAAAACGTAAGCGCTAAACCCTAAGCCGAAGATGACAATCTGGTCGCCTTCTGTGCTTTGCCCATGCCAAGGAGGGTGCTAGCCCCCTGCATCTTCAGTCTTGCTTTAAGGCCTGGGTCATGGGTGCTCCAACATAGAGGTGGCCCATAGTACGGCCAAGCAACCCCACGCCGATGAGTAGGTTCAGAAGCTTGCGATTTCGGGTTAACAGAATTCCGGTTGCAGAGCTGAACGGCTGGGCACTCAGCCTTTTAATTCAAGCAGCCGGTCTTCCTGCCGAAGACCTACCCCTCATACATTGAAACCAAAAACACGTAAAACAAAAAAATCCAAATCGAAAGCTCACAAGAATGCAAGGATGAATCAGAGCCCAAGGCTTTAGGATGCTTTCCTCGTGCAATCCAATCACACCTTAGTGGTTTGGGGTTTAGGGCTTAGGGTTTAGGGTTTACGGTTCAGGGTTTAGGGTTTAGGATTTACGGTTTAGGGTTTAGGGTTTAGGGAATCCTGAGGTATCTGAGTTTCAGCTTTTGGACCTGATGTCAGCGCTACTGATCCTCATGGGCCTCAGCCTGGGCGTGCTGGAGATTGGGGCTGACGATTGAGGGTCAGGTCTTGGGACGCGTTGGGTTTACGGAGTGAAAAGGGTTTAGGGTTTAGGGTTTAGGGTTTAGGGCTTAGGGCTTAGGGCTTGCTTAGGGAAAAATTTTGATCTTTGGGCATCACTAATTCCTAAGAAACAGCTACAGTGGTGATTTTTGCTAGGGTTCAAGTTCAGTATAGCTTAGGGTTTCGGATTCAGGGGTTGAAGGATCAGCAATTTTACGCGGCTGAAAAGTTGAGGAGTAAGGACAGGGGCTTTATCCAGAGCCCTCAAACAGCACACCTTGGATTCTCCAAACTCCAGTCCTGCACTCTGAGCCCTGATATAGGACCGTGAAATTCCACGTCCGCAGGGTTCAGGCCACTTCAACAAACCTCACATAACAGTGACAGACAGGAAGCCTCAAGCGGAAGAGAGCTTAGGCTTTGATTGTTTGTGAAGTTTTTGCAGGTGGCTGTTATCGGCCCACTAGCTGAACCCGAGGTCTCCCCTTGTTTCCTCGCGCGCCAGGACACCCAGCGGCGGTGGATCTCGTATGCCAGCGATGCCATCACCTGGTCTCTGTACGAGGCTGATGGGGCGTCTCCCTGAAGTGCTAATTTCCGCCATGCTCTAGTGGCCCTTGAAGCGGCGCTTGGCTTTGTGAATTCCTTATTGAAGCAGCTCCACAAGCCACCATGCACTGAAGACCTCATCACCCCCCTAACCGGAACAGGAACCCTTTTTGAACCCTAAAACCCTGAGCCCTGAACCCGGACCCCAGCCCAGATGCCTAAGGCTATGGGTGGCCCAGATCGAGTCATTCCCGGGCGGCTGGTGCCTGGCACCCCTGCCGAGGCTAGCCAAGAAAGAGAGAGAGCGAGTGAGTGAGAGCGTGAGTAAGTGAGAGTGAGTGGGTGGGTGAGCGAGCGAGGGAGTGGGTGGGTGGGTGAGTGACGAAGAGAGAGAGTTCTGCCCTGAGCCCCTGAATTTTCTCAGATCCCCTCACCTCTCCAGCCATTGGACCCCTGTGCGATGGGTCCCCTTCTTATCATATGGTTACTGGGCTGCCAAAGGGTTGAGGCAAATGGGCTGTTTTGAGCGTTCGGAAATTTTTCTTATCTTGGAACTTTATATCGCAGCACTCCATGATGTTTCGACCCTCACGCTGAATCACGAAACCCACACAGCTTCGGAAATACCAGCCTCGTGGAAGGTAAGGACCTCGTCTTCTATGCAAGCCTTAGCACCCTGCAGGCTTGGACGTTTGTATTGGCGAAACCCTAGAATCCTACAACCGTGTAATCGCCCTCGAGACCCCACAGCCCAAGGCCAAGAGTACATGCTCAAGTGCTGAGAACCGAAAAGCGTTTCAGGTGGAGCGGGCCACCCTGTCGTGGCCGAACATGCGCGAGCTCTTGGCGTTTCTGCAGCAGGCGGGGCGCCTCGCTGATGCTCAGGCCCGCTAAGCCCCTAAGCCATGCAAGGTCTGTCTTTAGGACCTAGGCTCCAGTTGCCCGAACCCTAAACCCCAAATTTCAAACCCTAAACCCTAAACCCTAAAACCTAAACCCTAACCCCTACCCTTAAACCCTAAACCCTAAACCCTAAACCCTAAACCCTAAACCCTAAACCTTAAACCCTACATCAAATTCAGGCCCGAGTCCCAGACCGCCTCCGCGCGGCGGCGGCTGCGGATGCTGCCACTGCGCAGCGCGAGCTTCGGCGCCTTGGGCTGTTGGGATTGTATGGTTTAGGGTGTAGGGTGTAGGGTTTAGGGTTTAGGGGGTGACGGCCAGAGCTTTTTAACGTCTAGGGTGGATGGGGTCCGAGATTTCTGGGGTTTTGGGCTGATTTGGGCTTCAGGTTCTAGCTCCTACTCAGGGGATTGTGATGATGACGATGACAACAATGATGACGGTGATGACGATGATGGCGATAACGACAACGGCGTGTCGTTGATGATGTTTTTGTTGTTGTTAATGATGACGGACTCTCGCTTTAACTACAACGGTTTTCGAGCCATCCGGTATCTAAGTGTTGGGTTTTTGAGGTGCTTAGGGTCTGCATTGTTGAAAGAGTCCTAGACTCGAGGCCCCGGACTCGGACCCTTAAATCCTTAAAGCCCTGAGTCTTTGGGTTTCGGGGATTGATGAGATACGTTGCTTTGTAAATTAACCAATGGGATCGCAAGCTCCCGCACGCGACTCGAAGAAGAGGCTTTTGGCTGAAGCCGTTCTTCTGGCCTGCTCGGACGCACTGCTGCTGCTTGGCTCTCCGCCGTCTTGACATGGAATTCCAACACCTAACCCCAAGTGCTTTGTTCGGTATGAGGACAGTAGATAGATATGCGTATATGTGTGAATGTGTTGAGTGTGGGTACATGTATACGCTTCCTTGCATGTTTATGCAGTCACGAAAATTTGTGCCTTGTGGGCTTGGGTTTCAGAAGGCATTGAGGTTTGCAGGGTTTCGGGGTTCCATGTCCTTCTAGTTGAGGGTTATAGGGTTTAGGGTTTAGACAAATCTTACAGAGTTTTGGGATCTTGGGAGGTGTTTGGGCGTTTGAGGTGTAGGCTTCCCCCCGCAGGAACGAATCGTCGTCTAGCCACGCATTCTTGAGTGCATACAGCAAACCCTGAACTGAATTCTAAACAAGTGTGGGCCCAGGGAGGGTTGGGTAGGCTGCGCCTATCTCCCGCCGTAATTTCGACACCTGACCCCCAGAGCGCATGGCCCTCTTACAACAAGTCCACGGCACGGCTACCCTCCAAGTGCAGCCGGCGCAGGTTAGATCCCGAAACGCCGTTGCCTGCTTCTTGGCTGAATGCAGACACACTTGTCTGGAACGGCTCCCATGAAAATGGTAAGCGCAGTCAAGTCCTCAACCCTAGAGCTTCATCACCCGGAATTTCCAAATGACGAATGAAAGCATGATGCCGCCATCCGAGCAAAACCAGTCTTGGTAGGACTATGAGCTTTGTCATGGTTTTGGAGAACTGGTAAGGGTTCCTGCTTTTCCCGGCGACACGACTTGGGGCCTGGGGTCAACCTTTAGAATGCGTGCCACGTGTTGAGGCTATCGACGGGGAGTGGGAGTGCGCCTGCGACTACTTCCGGAACGGCCTCGTAGCTGACTTCGGGCTTGGGTTGGCGCTTTGCATCCTCAAATGCCAGCTGGAGGACTAGCAACATGTATGTTATCCCGCAGAAGCTATCGGAGCCTGTCCCGGAACTCGCACCCAGGTGTTTTAGATTGTTTCGCGGTGCGTTGACGGACTGCTAGTCTATGGTCCCATCGCGCTCTCTTCTCTTTGACTTCCCTCTCACTCCGACCCTCCCTCCTTACCTCCCTCCCTCCCTCCCTCGCTCGCTCTTTCTTTTGCTCTTTATCCTTCGCTTTCTCTTTCAAGTTCTCTTCCTCTCTTTCTTGCTATCACATCATGTAGACGACTCCGAAGCTCGAGTAGGATCTTCCTCGAGCCTCCGTTGCCCCGCCTGCGCGTCCCAGGCAATGTGATCTTTGTTCCGATGCGGCTACGTGGCGAATCAGGCAGCTGGCTAGGTCCACGTGGCCGTAGTTGAATTCTCCGGTAGCTCTTTGAACCCTCAACGCATTGAACCCTAGACACTTGAAACACGCACTCGGACTGCACCTGGATCTGAACCCCAAACTCTAATTCCCCGATTCCGAACTTGAAGGGGCTCTTCTGCTGGATTGCGAGTATCTCTTTGTGCCCTCCCCTTCCATCGACAGGGGCTTTTTGCACGCGCACACCTCAGCTTGGGCTTGGGAGTTGAGGAGGCCCAAGATTCTTGATCGGGCTTTCAACAGTGGGCCAGGCCGGGAAGCTGTCTACCCAAAACCCTTAGCGCTAAGTTCCTAAGCTGGTTCAGGACTTATTGTGGCGAGCACTGAGCACAGTCCAGGGCGAAAAAGTGAGAGCGATTCTGCCAAAACGAGCGCCGCGCCCTGGCGAAGCCGTGAAACCGGGCCGGGAACAGCCCTGGCACAGCAAGCCTCATCCTTCTTACCCTGAACAGAACCCCATATGACATATGCAACCTCACTGTTCGGGAAGGAAATGGTTCACGATTCTTGGGGCTGGTTGCAGGATCCTACACTGCCGACGGCGGTCGGCACGACATCCTGAACATCCAGCGACGCCGCGAAGGACCCAAGGGGTTAGTGGTACTCAAGCAACCCCAGAATCCCCATCAGCTCAATCTCCTTGTGCTTGTGAGGCCAATAGATACTTACCTTTAGTCGGCGTTGGTGAGATCTTGGATGCATGTTTGACCCCTCCACGAACCCTTTCTCCACGTGAGACTTCTGAATCCTTAGAGATGGCTTGGCAGGGGTAGCGGGCTCTTCCTTCTTCCTTTTGGGGCACTTTGGGGGCGGGCAGCACCGCTTCAGGTTCCCTGGTGGTGGCCGACTTCCGCTGGGAGAACTCTGCCGGAGCTTCCGGCAGCGGCAAGTGGCTGGTGCGCCTGGGTCCAAAAGTCACGAATCTGCCTTAAAACAGATGTTTTTAAAGCATGCGCCCCGCAAAGCCTTGCCGAGGCCTGTTGATGCAAACACCCCCCACCCCCACTCCCCTGCGCCCGTCCCCTGACCCGTGGCTCATCCCCGGCACCCCAAAGGCCCCCCAAAGGAGACGCGAGGGCGTCGATGATGCTCTGGTTTGTGAGATTGACATGTGAACCCCACTCCGATAACCTCCAGAAGCCGAAGGCGTCGGTGTTGTGCAAAATCAGGCGTTGTACCCCGGTACAAGCCCTTGGCCTCCGGAACCCTAGAAACTATGAACGCTTAAACTCTGACCTGTAGACATGAGACCATCCGAGGAGTCGGGAGGGCAACTTCATCGCCGGGAACTGGCGCCAGGACAGCAGCGGGGGTGAAATTGAGATTCGTTTTTCAGGGTCTTCTGTACTTTGCCTTGGGTTTCGCCCACAAAGCTGTTTTTTTTGCTGGATGTGGCGGCCTGGCTGTCAGAATGGTTAGGCTAGACCGTCTTAAACTGCGTGAAGCCCCACAGAAACTGAAAACCCTTCGAGCACTTCTGCCTGATGGCCAAGGGGTCATGGACTTTCTTTCGCGGCATTGCAAGGCTGAAGGAATCAGACCTGGAGAGATCCTGGGACCCGAAGTAGCAGTAGGCTCATTTCCCTTTTTTAGGGTTGGGGTTCCCTGATAATACGCTTAAAACCAAGCAGGGCACCCTTGTTACTCCTTGGTTACTCCTGGGTCTAGGATCTTACGTGACATGAACTCGAGGATCCGAGATCTCAAATCAGACCCGGCGAGGTCCTAACTGATCTTGTGGATTCTTGGGAAAGTTTTTTTTTTAGTTTTTGCGTACTGTAATTCCTAAGAAAAAGCAAAAAATGTAATTTTTGTTAGGGTTCCAAGTTCAGTATAGTGATGTGAGCCTGAAACGCCGTGCGTTTGCATTTTCATCGTACCACCTTGATGCTTGCCAGGAAGGAAAAGCCCGCGCCGAAGAAGACTCCTAATTTCAAACATTGATTACTTGTAATTTCTGAAAACTAATCAAAATACTTGACATGAATCAATTTCATTTAGTATCTTAAAAACGCCAATGAAAATGAATCACAAAAGGGCCAATTATGAAAAAAGCATTAAGAATTAAAGTAATACTGAAAAGTTATAAAGCTTCATTGACACGAATCGAAAGTAAAGTAGAGCAAAACGTTAATAATCAAAATTTATCAAACTACTTAACATTAACAAAATACATACATCTGATTCGTTCTCATCATTACAATAGCTTAAAATAGTTAAAATGAGTTAAATCTTGTGAAAACTACGTTAAATGTACCAAAACCAATTAACGCATTAACGCATTACAAATTCACAAAAAACAGTTTGACACCAGTTTAATTTGATTACATTGATTACACTTCATTAAAAAGACATGCAATGAAAATTGTTAAAACGAACTGAGACGGATCAAAACACATTTTCACAAGTTCGAAACACTCACTAAAACAAAATAACAATGACTCTTGATTGGCTAAACGTAAGTAAAACGCATTGGAAGTCATCAACATGAAGTAAAGCCAATAAACCTAACACGAATAAAAATAGTTGACAGTAGGAAAAATAGTTCAACATTAAATAGCATCAATATGAATTAGTTCAAATGACTCAAAAGGACTTAGCTTAGCAAGAAAAATTGAAATTAATCGCAACTACTTCAGATGAGTTATACGCTTCATAATTAGGAAATATTTAGAACACAAGAAAACTCATCGAAATTAAACAACGCCAAAACCTAATCAACATTCATTAAATATTTTATCTATACCAAAATTAACTACAACGAATATAACTCATGTAAATTTTCAAATAGCATCAACTATCACAAGCAAACTCATTAACATTAACCACCCCTGTAGAGCAAACCCTAAACCCTAAACCCTAAACCCTAAACCCTAAACCCTAAACCCTAAACCCTAAACCCTAAACCCTAAACCCTAAACCCTAAACCCTAAACCCTAAACCCTAAAAAAAAGCCTGCATGGCGGCTGGGCCCTGAGCCTGTACTCTTGCAAGAAAGTGTTGGAAGTTCAGGTGGGGACCGGTTGAAGTGCAGATTTCGTCCTCTTGGCTTTTAACTGCGTGTTTTGAAGTACGGTTAGGGCTCAAAGGTTTTTAGGTCTTGTGTCCAATCCACAATCGCGGGCTGGAGGCTTCTTGCTTGGCCGTTAGCGCCTTCATAGCTTGAGGTAATTGCCCCTCGTGGCCCTTGAGGTCTAGCATTGGTACCCTAAAGTGGGCTGAATATCTACACAAACACTAGGGTTTAGGGTTTAGGGTTTGGGGTTTAGGGCTGAGGGTTGAGGGTTTAGATCTCGCCTGAAGAACCCTAAACCCTCCGAGAGGATGGCGTAGAGGAAGGTCCTTGGAGCTGGTACGGCCGGAAGAAGCCCTCGCTCCGCATCTGGGCCCTGAAAGGAGTTTAGGGTTTAGGGTTTAGGGTTTAGGGTTTCGGGGCTTCAGGGTTCTAGGTTTCCTACACCCTGGGTTCTTGAGCCCTAAAGAGGGATGATGCGTCCAGGAATGTAGGGTCCCAGGGCTTTGGGCTCTATGGGTTTGGTGGCAGGGTTACCGGGTGGTTAGGTGGTGTTGGTCGGCGAAACGAATATTTCGGGCAGCGTTCGTAGCATTGTTTTGGCCCACTTTTAAGTATACGTAATCTCAGGTCCCTGACCCTCCGAACCCTCACCCTAAGCCCTAAATCTCCACCTTCCCTCAGGCACGCCGCCGCCGCCCGAGGTGGCACGGGCGCGGGCGCGCGAGGGTGCAGACCAGGAGCTGATGGGTTCAAGGTTTTGTAGGGCTTAGGGGTTCCTAAACCTTAAACCCAAAACCCAAAACCCAAAACCCTAAACCCTAAACCCGAAACCCTAAACCCTAAACCCTAAACCCTAAACCCTAAACCCTTGGGGCTTGGGGTTTTTCGGGGTTTTGGAATTCTTTGGTTTTCGGAGTCAGGCCTAGGAATAACGCCTTTAGCAACTTTGAACCCAAAAAACCCCGTCTGAACCGTAATCGCAAGCCCTAGAATTCCCCAAAGCCGAAGCACAGAATTGCGAGCCCCGATGTCGGCGGCTTCGCATGCTCACGCAGGACACGCGGGTCACCGACTTGGGTCCTGTTGCCATCAAGGCATGTGGTTTAGGGTCTTTGGTCCTACTGAACCACCAATCTCGAACCTCCTCAAACCCGGGAACCTTGGTGCTCTAGACCATACGGAGCCAGAATCAATGTTCAACATCCTGCTTGAGGTCAGTATGTTGGAGATGACAAGATTCTGGGGCCTATAGGCTGCAGTCGCAAGATTTACCCCCCGAAACCCCACAAGGCCTATTGCAATAGCCCAAGCCCTAAACCCTAGTTCAACCCTCATCTGCACAACCTCAGTTCCTAAACTTTAAACTTTGTACCCTAAACCCTAAACCCTAAACCCTAAACCCTAAACCCTAAACCCTAAACCCTAAACTCTAAACCCTAAACTCTAAACCCTAAAACCCTGTACGAACAGGCCGGCGCTGCGGCCGTCCAGGCGGCAGGCTCTGACGCCGGGGCGCGCGAGGCCTGCTGCCGTTGGCGCTCTGCTTCGGTTCTTAGCCACAACTTAGCAACAGCAACTGGGAAAAATACTTAGGTGGAGTGGCACATCTTTGGAGACTTAAGAGTCTTTAGGTTTGGCTTCTGCTGGTGGGCTTCGAGGTCAGCTCGAGGACTCCAGCCTAAAAACTCAATGTGTGGTCTTGGTAGCTTGTGTAGGTTTGCGTGCTTCATGCTTAGTTTTTAGGAAAACCTCAAGATCCGAATCTGCCTTGGCTGGGAGGCTGTAGCACAAGCCTGGGACAACTCCGCTCCGCCGCTTGCTTTCACGGCTGTCGGGCATTCGGCGTACCTTTTTCTTCTTGGGATTGGGGTAGGGCATGAACGAGGTTGTCTCAATGGCCCTGTATTGATTTTAGAGAGGGTTTGCTGGAGAAAGTATAGTAAGGTCTTGCAGAGTTCCAAGCCTTGCTGTAATGGATCATAACCGTCGCAGTTCTTACTCGTACCGGATTTTGAGTGTAGGGTCTAAAGGTTCACGGTTTAGGGTATGAAGCCCTGAGCCCTGTGATTGCGGGGGCATCCCCATGGACTCTTCCCTCCTGGCGGCCCCCATCACGAGATCTTGTCACCCGAACGTTTTGTCGACCTCCCGGCCATTCTAGCTTGTGTAGCTAGGTTCGGAACTTAACATCCGTTTTTCAGGATAGTGTTGCACGGGACATGGGTTTGTGATTCGCGGCAGGAGGGCGGGGGGGTACCAGCCTTGTCTAGGTTTAGGTTTCAGGTTTATAGGGTTTGGTCCTTTGGGCTGGGTGGGTGGGTGGGGTGGCTGGGTGGGGGGTGCGTCCAAGCCGCAAAAACAAGAAACCACGTTGAATGGATAACTTTTTTTTTTTTTAAATCTTTTTTTCTTCAGTTTCTTTTGTCGGAGTGTGCAAGTATGTTGTATAAGGACGATGCCACTTGAGTCTTTGCTTTGACTGCTGACTCTAGCCTAGCCGAAGAAACAAACTATGCAACTGAAACCAAAGGCTCTCGAAACATCTCTGCTGAACCCGATTCCAAAAGCTTGAGCCGCAAACCCTCAAAAAGCCGCCCAGGGTGCAGCCGTCTGGAACCGGCGGCGACCTTGCCCCCTCGGCAGTGCTCCGGCGACGGTGGCTGGCCGCAGGACCAAGAACGACAAAGCAAAAGCTCTAAAGTCCTAAAATTAGGGGCGAGAGGATGTTGTGGGGTGCAGGATGCAGAGCCCAATGCGCACAGAACCAAGCAGCTGAGATGGCGCTGGGTCTTCCTGAGATCGTCATATCTGAGATGCTGCAAATAGCTCGAGGGTTTTGAGCACACGTGGAGTCCCTGGGCTCACCGTCACAGGCTTCTTTCCGTACCTTTGCAACCGTCCAAGCAGATCCCCAGCCTTCATCCCTTCAACAGTCCTTAAATAGCGCGAGCAGTCCCCGCGACAGCCCTGGCCATGCACCTGTGCTGGAGTCCTAACGAAACCCTTCGAATCGATGTAGACATAACGTTCAGGCGGCGAAGGGTTTGTGAATGTCTCTAGGACACTCGGCACCGGCGTTTGAAGGAGAGCCCAGGGCTTTCTCAGTCCAAACTCGAAGTCCGGAGCCAGAAGGCCATGTTTGATCTTGAATCCGGAACTTCAAACTATAAAATCCTGAACCCCCTAAACTCCCTAACCCCTAAAATCCTAAACCCTAAACCCACTGAACCACACAAAGTGAGCAACGCCACCAGGGGAGGACTTGCGAGCCGTGCTTGGACTGACCCTGGGCGGCCTCGTGCCCGAAAACGTCCAGTGCCCTTGGCGCTGAGCAGGGTACAGTGTTGGATTGAAGTGTGGGTGTAGGGTTTAGGGTTTAGGGTTTAGGGTTTAGGGTCTAGGGTTTAGGGTTTAGGGTTTAGGGTGAGTAGGGCTTCGCAGTTTGCATATATGGTTGTGCGCTGTGCTTTCTCGCTCCCCCCCCCCCCTCCCCCATGGTATGCCCCACATTGAACAAAGACCACAGCTTGACTATAGCAAAACCAAACGCTTACCGCTTGGGGCATGTATTGCCGATGCATACCCAGGCGGCTGGGATTTGCCCTGGCGCTGGCCTTATGGCACGGGCTCCCAGCGGGAAGCGCTGTTTGCATTTGTCTGGTGGTTTGCTGGTTCATTTGTTGCTTTTATAGAAAGTATATAGGGAATGCAGGGCTTGGGGCCACTAATTTTGGCCGAAAGTTTTGGGCCAGATGTATTTGACCAACAGTTTTGACCAACACGTTCCTGTTTTGGAGCCCCATACAGCCACACGTCCAACAAAACCGCTGAAGATCATGAAAGTGACAACGCGAGAGCCGGCCTGTCTTTCGTCCGCGCGAGATGCCCTGACAGTCTCCTTGAGCTTGCTGTTTATGGCTTGGGGCTTCGGGTTTAGGATATGAAGCAGGGTATATATTTCTTGTACACCCAAAAGAAATATAAACCCTACTTCATATAAGGCGCTCGCTGTATCCCCCTATACGGCTCTTCAAAGGGCCAGAGACTGGTGTCACTGAAGCCGGGGTCGTCAATAAACGGCCATCTGTGCAGAGGAAGAAGTAGACCTTGGGCGGGGCACGTTGGCACCGTGGTGGGTGAAGGCAGCCAAGTATGACATCCTAGCTCGGGCGTGGCGAACGCTCGCAATCCTGGAATGAATGCATGAAGAGTGGCATCAACTGTTGTTGTTTATGATATTTGTTTGGGGGAAAAACACCCTGCTATGCATGTGCCAATCCAACAAAAGTGTGGCGAAACTTGAACACGATGCCGTCGATCTGTCTGAGACCTTTGCACGAACGAAGGTCAGCCACATGAGCAGCACCTCTCTCGCATTCTCGTTATGTATAGTTTTCATAGACGTATGCAGCATAGCTAAAGACCGGTACTTGTAGCGGGCTGCAAGCCGCACTCTTCCATCAACATGCAAGCTCAAGCAGTGCAGTGCGGAGTGCGGACCAGCCGAAAGCATTGTTCGCTCACCAGCGGCTCACCGGAGATGCACGCGCCCTGACACAGTCTGTACAGGGAGTTTGTGGACTGGCGCCCGCTTGGCCTTGTTGACAAGGTCTATTTCGGCACTCTTCTTCGCGAGAGCTCTGGCGCTGTCCCTGGGCAGCTCGGCACCTTCGCTCATACAGAGTGTCTGTGTTGAGCTTCGAGCTTCGGGGTAATTTTGGCTCAGGAGTTCAGGGGCTGGGGTTCATGGCTTGCAGGGACTCAATTGACACCAAAAGAGTCGTCCCGGAGGCAGATGCGGCCACGTGGTCCTTCTTCTTTGCCAGCTACGCTGCGCCCTGGCCCGCATCATCCCGCCATGCTGCTTTCTTTGGTCGTGCGATGGCCCTGTTCGACCCTGGGATTTTGGGCATTGCTTTGGAGGGTGTGGAGGGGTGCTGTCTAACGCTGATAATAAGTACGTAGTATCCACGCAATTTGTAATACAACCTGTATGAGCGAGAAGCCGGCTCTAGCACAGGTGATTCTCGACATCGCGCTGCCGACCCGCGCAGGCCTCCGAAGGGAGATCTGTCCAACAGTTACCCGAAAGACTGCTTTTTGTAATGCAAGCAACCAGTCCGAAAGACTGCTTCAGGGCCTGCGGTTTAGGGTTAGGGCTTAGGGGTCCAGTTTTCGGTTTGTTAAGCGAATTCTCAAAAACCTAGAAGCTTAGGGCCTCACTCTAATCCCTTGATCCACGCGCCGCAGACCCTGCATACGGGTTGTGCAGCAGACCGGCATATGCGTTCACAAAAGTCCCACCCCCAAGCCCTGAACCCTTGAATACTTTTTAAACGCTTCACTAAACCCCAAACCCTTACCAAGTCAGAAATTCCTGAGCCTATGCAGCCTTCACCAAGCCGAATTATCCTTCACAACTTCTAACCCTCAACCCTCAACCCTCAACCCTCAACCCTCAACCCTCAACCCTCAACCCTCAACCCTCAACCCTCAACCCTCAACCCTCAACCCTCAACCCTCACCCCTCACCCCTCCCCTCAACCCTCAACCCTCAACCCTCAACCCTCAACCCTCAACCCTCAACCCTCACCCCTCAACCCTCAACCCTCAACCCTCAACCCTCAACCCTCAACCCTCAACCCTCAACCCTCAACCCTCAACCCTCAACCCTCAACCCTCAACCCTCAACCCTCAACCCTCAACCCTCAACCCTCAACCCTCAACCCTCAACCCGCAACCCTCAACCCTCAACCCTCAACCCTCAACCCTCAACCCTCAACCCTCAACCCTCAACCCTCAACCCTCAACCCTCAACCCTCAACCCTCAACCCTCAACCTCAACCCTCACTTAACCCTTAACCCTGAACCCTAACCCCCAAACTTCACCAGCCGTCAGCTTCGGAGCTCTCTGTCAGGGCTTGCGCCGCCCGCGACCGCCAACGCCGTGGCGCTGCGGCAAAAGCGCCTGGAGCAGCTACGGCTCTGGGCCGTGCCTTGGGCTTCAGTGGTTTAGGGATTAGGGTTTAGGGTTTAGGGTTTCAGTGATCTGGGAATGACCGTTCAAGCTCGAGGGTGTGGGCTTTAGGGCTCTAAATACGTCAGGCTTTCCCAGTTTTGGGGCAAGGTGTTTTTTTGAGGAGATGCGTTGAAGGTGTGTAACAGTTGGAGTCGAGGGTTTGCTCACCACCTCGTTTTGACATGTTTAGTGACTTTCTTCATGTTTTTTCCGGTTTAGGAGGGAAAGGTGCATCCCTACCAAAATACATAAATGAGTCAACATATGTATATATATAGATTACATGTAAAAGTAGATATATAATATACACATGTATTATTATTTTGTTTGCCACTCCAAAGGAGAATGGCGGCCTTGTGCGACGTGGCGCCACGCCACGCGATGAGCTGCTGAAGGCGGTCAGGCCCGCGAGGGGAGCATTGAGGGTTTCGGACGCAGAGTCTGAGGTTTCGAGTTCAGGGTTTAGGGTTTAGGTTTAGGGATAAGGGGTTTTTGGTGGCGGGCTTTGGGGTCTTCGGCTGCAGGGTTCTGGCAGAAGGGCAAACGTGATGCGTGTATGCGCCGTTAGCCGCCGGCGTGGAAGCATGGAAGCCCTGCACCGCACGGCCTAAACCCCACCGCAACCTGAAACTTTGCGTAGCTGGGGGTCTCGGCCCTTTGTGTCTTGAAGGTCATGGGACTGAAAAGTGCTGGGGTCAAAAATGGGAGAGAACAACAGCGGGCTCTGGAGGTGGGGAGTGGCTGTCGGGCTTCGGATGTCGGAGGCCGGGTGTAAGAATCAAGACCTCGAGTGCTCGACTTCGGGGTTTCAGTTTGGACCCGGAATCTTGGACTGATGTATACGACGACAGTCACTACCGCAGTCTTCTGCATTGCTTTGCATACTTTGCGCTCCTAATCCCTAAACCCTAGTCCCCTTGTCAAACCCCTAAGCCCCAAGCTATAAAGCGCGACGGAGTTGAAGAAGCACTGGAAATGAAATACCTCGCCTACATGTATCCCGAAGGTGTTTAAGGCTGAGGCCTTAAAGCAGGTTTCGGGTCTGCAGACTTCTCCCTGAGGCGCGTGTTGGAGCCTGGGGGCAGCGGCGAAGCAATGTTCCTTGTCAAGCCCTCCATCCTGTAGACCTATACATACTTAAATCCTAAATCCGAACCCTAAATCCGAAACCCTAAATCCCAAACCGAATACATGCAAGCCCTGAAGCCTCAAGCTTTCTGGTCCAGGGGGTCGGGGCTTCAGGAGGGTTGACATTTCGTGGAGAAGGCTTCCCTGAGCTCCACAGAAACCCCTGGAGGCCAGCAGCCCCCACCAGCAATCCCTAAACTCATGTGGTGAAGGGTTTAGGGTTTAGGGTTTAGGGTTTAGGGTTTCCGTAAAAAGACGAAAGCCGGCAAAGTCCTGGGGCCCCAAAAGTCAGTAGCCCTCGAACCCGAAGCCTGCGCCGCGTTAGCCCTGCTAGCTGTCCAAGCCCTAGGCCCCAGCCCTATACCTAAGCTAACCCTAAGCTAACCCTTAAACTTCAACCCTGGCCCTGGAAACCTTATGTGCTCTTCTAAGCTACTAAACTAAGCCCCCGTCATCCTCACCATAAGGCGCGACAGTGAGGTGGAGGAGCTGCTGAAGGCGACCCCAGAAGGTTTAGGGTTTAGTGTTTTGGGTTTCTGCTTAGTTACTTGCTTTTGCTGCTTTGCTGGGTTGTATTTGTCTTGTTTGGTCCTTGACGTAGACGCTTTTGGTGCAGAGTGGCCTCCCAACGCGCAAGAGGCAGCAGCAGCAGCACCACAGGCCCTGTGGAAATCCGACCATATAAGCCCTAAGCCCGAAAACCTTCCGACTTGAACCGAAGATCGGACCTTTCAACCCGAAGCCCGACGCCCTCAAGCTGCCTAGCCAAGGTCTGGAACCCGGCAATGAAGCGGCAGGTGCTGCGGACCTCGAGGCTCTCTAAGGGGGCGCTCCTTGACTGCAGTTTCTGGGGGGTTTGGCAGTCGGGTTGAGGGTTTGTCTTTGGTTGAGGGTTTGTCTTCGAGGTTTAGGTTTCGGTGTTTTGGGCTGTTTGCGAGCAGTGCGGACATGTTCATCGTTTTTTGATGGAAAGTTGTTGTGCGCTCGGGAAAGAGAGGATGGTTGAAAGCAAGTGCTGTTCTTCCGTTCGTGAGGTCTTATTGGTTGTCCAGAACTGGATCGTGACAGCGAAATTGTCAAACCAGTTTCTGCTTCCGGTCTTGCAGTGCATCACTGTCGACGTGTACTGGTACGAGTAGCCAGATACGCACATCCGACATAACAGGCGCACACCGGAGCTTTGCGTGTAGGCTGCAGGCATAGCGATTCCGACGATTCCCCCCGGCCGAGGATGATTACGTATGAGAACGTTTCCATCGTGCCCGGCAAAGAGCCGCGCAGCATCTGGTAGGGCCTGCTGGTTGGTAAGGACCATGCGGCTTTTACCCTGAACCCCTACAAGCCAGGATCCCCCCCCCTCTCCCTAAGTAGCTGACGGGCTTAGCTTTGAGCTTCGAATCCTGTAGTTAAAAGCCTGCGTAGAGCCCCCCAAAGCCCTGGAAAGGCCCTCGCGTCTGCACCCTAAAACGCCGCATGTTCCTGCCAGGGGCCTTGAACTCCGCCCAGGTTTAGAGTTGCATCCTTCTGAGGGTTCAGGGTTCAGGGTTCAGGGTTCAGGGTTCAGGGTTTAGGGTTTAGGGTTAGGGTTTAGGGTTCAAAGGGATCCTGGACTCCGGGCCTGGATATGGCTCCTTCAGCTGGGGCCAATTTCAAAGCGGATGCGGGGGCTGTTTGCTGAGTTTCACACCACCTGGGGAGGGGAACCCTAAACCCTAAACCCTAAACCCTAAACCCTAAACCCTAAACCCTAAACCCTAAACCCTAAACCCTAAACCCTAAACCCTAAACCCTAAACCCTAAACCCTAAACCCTAAACCCTAAACCCTAAACCCTAAACCCTAAACCTAACCCTAAACCCTAAACCCTAAACCCTAAACCCTAAACCCTAAACCCTAAACCCTAAACCCTAAACCCTAAACCCTAAACCCTAAACCCTAAACCCTAAACCCTAAACCCTAAACCCTAAACCCTAAACCCTAAACCCTAAAGGGCTCTATGAAGGTTCTCTCACATGAGAGCAGCTCCCTGCGACACATCGATGCGCCTCTGCATGCCACAAATGGTGAATCCAGCCTTGATCGTTGAACTCAACAAGTCGCTTGCTTGGTTGGACTTCCTACTTTCTGATCTTTCTGAGGTGATGAAGGGCTGTGTAGGGGCCACCCTCCGAGGGTCCGAGGGTCTAGAGCCCAGGGTCCATCTTTCCAAAGCCGGGCTATGGGAATTACAATATCTTGCGATTCGTGGACCCCGTCATGATATCATGATATACATAGAAAAATTGTCATGAGTCCTGGGACGTGTTGTGTTTGTCTGTTGCAGGCAGACATGCAGCCATGCAGCTCTACCCTTAGGATTTGGGAGGGTCGGGAGTCCAGGCTTGAAAAACACAATCGGGTCAGTCGCCGAGGGGTACGTCAAATCAGGAGAGATGTTCGCAAGAGCTCATGCCAGGGCCCCTTCTCTTGCCTACTCCTTGCAAGCAGCAAACCGGGCGAATGCAATCACAGTGCAGACAGCAGCTGCCGTATCGCTTAAACCCCCGTTACACGTGCACCTCAGCCCTGCGATAGTGCTCTCCTGCGGAGGTTTGACTGGAGAAGTGCACCTTGGTCAAAGAGGCCAGGTGCCACAACTGCTGAGTTGATGGGGTATGCCGTGGTCTGAAACATATCTCAGAAGACTTGGGGCGTAGTCACCTTGTCCAGAAGAGAAGTCAGCCAAGACTTCAGCGCAGATCTTTCTGTACCCGCCCTAAACCCTAAAGCCCGTCTAGAAGATACTGGAGCGCCGAATCTCATCTAGCATGCCCTGTTTTAGTCTTGTTTAGGGTGCCACAACCCGAAGCCCAAGCCCCGAGCTAAGCAGGTGCGAGAAAGCTCCCGTTGCTTCATGTTTGCGGCGGGAACTTCACCCACTCCGGGCAACCCTACAAAGTCGGCTTGTGCCTAGAAAACTGATAAACCGAACGGGTTTTAGACAGCGAAAGCCCGATGAGCAGCATGGGAATCCAAGGCGAGGGCAATGCCCTGAACCTGTAAGGCCTAGAGCCTTTCTCAGCTTCTAGCAATATCATATGTGGGAAGGTTTGAGTCTGGGCAGCTTGCACTTGCTTACATACTTCCACTCACATGTACTTTCTATATGTTCTCATGCTGACGAGCGGAATGACCAAGTCTTTCAACCGAAAGAACCTGGAATGCGGCAGGTCTGGCCTGTGCCGAGATGACCTCTGGTGTCGTCACTTAGCAGCATTGGTGCCCAACATATTATATGTAGGCTGCCCATATTGCAACCGCACTCGTGATCGTTATTCAAAGTATCTACCCATGAACCTCCTGCATCTATCTTCTAAGTCCCCAAACCAATCCTCATCCGTGCCCGAAGCAGCGTAGGGTGGGAGAGTTTAGGGTTGCGGGCTGTGCGGCTTCCGGCCATCAGCAGTCTACATGTCTGACGAAAGCTAAACTTTCAAGCGCTTTGAACATGATGGGACCTTGTAGGGTTCCGGGGCTTAGATGCCTAGGATGCCTACAAGCATCCAGGAATCTCGGCGTTTATGCTTGCAGGCGCAGCTGCCTGTGCGTGTGCGTCCTGCTCGGGCGCGACGGCGCGTAGGCCCCATCGGGATTTGGGGTCTTGGGTTGCAGGGTCTGCGCTCTGTGGCTGCAGTGCTGAGAGCTCCGACTCCGAATCGAAGCGTCCAAGGTTTGTATTTGCTTGTTTTGCAGAAAGAACTTAACCCTCAGCCCCAAGCACTACGCCCAAGTTTACCTTCTCAGGACAGATGCAGACCCTGAAGGGTCAGATCCGAAAGTTTGTGGTTTCGGAAAGTTTCTGGATAGCATAATCACCCTAAACCCTAAACCCTAAACCCTAAACCCTAAAACCCTAAACCCTAAACCCTAAACCCTAAACCCCCAAACCCTAAAACCCCTAAACCCTGAACCGTTGTGGGAGGCTGGCGCCTTTGCCTCCTCGCGGCCGGGCCGCGCGCCCTGGCGGCTGTCACGGTGAAGTCAGGCCAGGTTCCGGCACGGTTTGGGGCGGCCTGAGCAGCCTCATGCCAAGGATGTGGGGTTTAGGGTTTAGGGTTTAGGGTTCAGGGTTTAGGGTTTTGGGTTTATTTGCAGAGCTTACTTCGCCCCGCGACCCATGCTACCTGCTGGAACGCCACCCGCACATCCCCATACTCCGCTCCCCCCGGCTAGGCACACGTACTCAACGGCTTTGTTCCAGCCGCCTTAGAGTTGCGTTTCAGTCTCGCGAAGAACGGCAGCACCGGTCTGGCCAAACGGGAACGGGAACGGAACATGTTCGTTCTATTGTGATTCATTACTTTACACCCAAATATTCGAAACACGGAGTCCGGAACTCATGCCTTAGGCCTGGAGCAGCTCAACTGCGCGGGTTAAGGACCGCATGGTTTCCTGCGACCAGAGAATCCATGGCTAAGTTATGACTGTGCCCAGGCTCCCAATGCATGTAGGGCAGGCTAGAGTCCTAGGGACATGACTCAGCCGGTAGCCTCGTGAAGGAGTAACGTCTTGCTGAACATACCAGACCTTTAGAATTCGTTGCCGGTTTTTTCCAACAGAAGTCATCCCCCATAATGAACTTGCCATATCGCTGAGCCACAAGTGCCCCGAAAAGTCCTGGCGGCTGCAGCGTATTCATCTTGAAAACGCCTTTACTCCGACAACCCACGAACATTGGGTTCTGAGAATGGGACAGAAGGCCATTTCTGCATCATCGGTGAGGTGCTTAACGACGCCGCAAACTTGTTTTACGACCAAACCTCAACCCTAAACCCTAAACCCTAAACCCTAAACCCTAAACCCTAAACCCTAAACCCTAAACCCTAAACCCTAAACCCTAAACCCTAAACCCTAAACCCTAAACCCTAAGCCCTAAGCAGGAACTTCACGAACATCCGAAATCGGAGGCGGCAGCGTTGTGCGGGTGAAGCCCACCCTTGGTCCAGAGGACTCCCCACAGGCCTTGTATGTTTTCGTTGTTGCGTGAGGTTCAGGTTCCCCTACCTGAGACCCGGAGTAGGCCCTTATTCCCCTTTTTAGAGTAGAGGTTCCCTCATAAGCCCCCTTAGACCCAAAAGGGCCCCCTTGTCTATAGCGACGAATCCTGGAGTTTCTGGTGGCTAGGTGTGGGCTTCAGCGTCTGAAGTTGTTGTGGGGCGGGGCCGAGAGCAGGCGCTCAGCTGTCAGGAGAGAAGAACTACAAAGACAAAGACAGGGGCCGACATCCCGAACCGTAGCTTTGTGGGGGGTTTTAGGGGCTAAAATGGGGTGTATGGGAGCTAAAATGGGGGGCTTTCGAGTTCTTCATGGGGTTTCCTACTACCCCCCTGTCTACTTTCCCCCCCCCCCCCCTTAGTTCCCGCGTGAGTTCTAGAATGTTCGGATGCTGGCGGCTCCTGGGGCTGGCACTGCCCTATGTCCGTTCCCGCCACGGCGCTCCCAAAAGGGTAGGGTTTAGGGTTTAGGGTTTAGGGTTTAGGGTTTAGGGTTTAGGGTTTAGGGTGTAGGGTTTAGGGTTTAGGCTTTAGGGCTCAGCCCGACAGGTGCTCGCCAGCAGCGGGGACCTGGTGGTGGCCTGGAAGCCGCCGAAGCTGCCCCATGGACTTCAAAGGAGGCTTTGGGCCGTTGCGATTTCTGGGAGGGTTTAGGGTTTAGGGTTTAGGGTTTGGGGTTTAGGGTTGCTCCCTAAACTGTAGCCTGAATCCCCGCAACCTTGATCAACCCTAGCAAAGCCGAGGCCTAAGCCCCCAAACCCTTGCATCTGAAACTGTTACAATTCTACAGCCCCCAGACCCAGGGCTGGAATCCCTAATCCTTATAAACCTCAGACTCTCAAGCCGCATGCGAAAGTGGCTGCGATGCAGGTTTGTGACCCTTTTCAGAGCCCCCCCCCCGTAGGGTTTGGGGGTTCAGAGCGTTTAAGATTCCATGGGCATAAGCTTCATGCGCGAAGGCCCCGCCACAGTCTCGCCCAGAAGCATGCATGACCCCTCAGCTCAGAACTGCTAGTCATAGGTTTTTTTGGGTTTAGGGTTCAGTTTTTCTTCTTTTGCTTTTTGGGTTTAGGTTTTTAGGGTTTAGGGTCTTTTGGGTTTAGGGTTTATAGGGTATATAAATGTGTATAAGGTTTATTAGGGTTTTTAGGGTTTAGGGTTTTATAGGGTTTATAGGGTATATAGGGTTTAAGGTTTCGGTGTGCTACCGAAGCGCCAGTCCAAGGTCCATGCGGCGGCGCATGGGCGGTGAGCCGAGTGATCTCGAGGCCCTAAACCCCGAACCCTAAACCCTAAACCTTATACCCTAAGCCCTAAGCCCTAAGCCCTAAGCCCTAAGCCCTAAGCCCTAAGCCCTAAACCCTAAACCCTAAACCCTAAACCCTAAACCCTAAACCCTAAACCCTAAACCCTAAACCCTAAACCCTAGCGGCTTGCAGGTTCCCAGACCCCTGGGAGCCTGGGAGGATCCATCAAAAGTAGATCCCCTTAAGGGTTCCTAAGAATGCCAGCCCCAGGGCCCGCTTGCAATCCCCGAAAACCCACAACACCCGAAACACCCGAAACTTCTTTGGAGGCCTGGGCCGCCGCTGCGGCTGGAGCGGCCACGGCCGTGACCACGCCGGGCGCCGAGCACGGAAGGCTTGGAACGCGAACAAGAGAGAGAGGCAGGCGCGCTTACCGCTCAACAGGAGCTCAATGTTCTTCTTCTCCTAGACCACCAACCTGTGGCATGGGGAAAGAATGTGGGGAAGGGTCGCAATTCGAGGGCGGGACCAAAACTCGGTCCACACATAGCAATGCACGTTTTTGCCCGACCCCAAAAGCCTACATGGCAGTGTGTTCCGTCCAGGTGGGGGTGTCCTGGGTGTTAACCAAGTGGTAGTCATGTTTGTAATCTGGACATACACACACACACACACACACCTTTTCACACGTTTCCTACCGACTGACTCAGTTGAGCACGCCCATTAGGCTTCCCCTTTCGGGGGGGGGGCCAAGTGCTGGGGAAGGAAGGAAGAGGCAGGGGAGGGGCTTAGGTCCATGGGAGACAAGAGGCCAATGGGGGTAACAATGCTCATGTGGGCCGAGTACAGTGGGAAAGAAAGCAAGAAAGAAAGCAAGAAAGAAAGAAAGAAAGAAAGAAAGAAATAGAGAGAGAGGCAGAGAGAGAGAGAGAGAGAGAGAAACAAAGAAAAGAAGAAAGAAATAAAGAAAAAGAGAGAGGGAGAGAGAGAGAGAGAGAAAGAGAGAAAGAGGGAAGGAGAGAAAGGAGAGAAAGGAGAGAAAGGAGAGAAAGGAGAGAAGCCCAGCAGAAGAAGAATAAAGAAGAATGAGAACAATAGTAAGAAGAGAGAAAGGGAGAGAGAGACAGAGAGAGAGAGAGAGAGAGAGCTGCATCATCTATCCCTCCACTTATCCCTCCAACAAGTGGGGAGCTCCAGAAAAAATCCGGGGTCAATTAGTGGTGGGATGCCCCACAAGAGGGCCGCTGGGTTGGCTAGCGACATGCGCTCAACCATTACAACCGAGTCCAGACATGACCTTGGGGTGCAAGGTAGCAACCCCTCAAGCCCTCAGAGAAGAAGAAGATGAAAAAGAAGAAGCGCGAGAGGGTTGGAGTGGGAAGGTCTGAGATGGGCTGCAGGCACATGGGGCTACAAGGGTTTGGTCGGCTGGTTGTTTCAACCCCACTTCTTGGCTACTCAGACCCAGATGCGTGCGATTAAATGTTGATTTCTTTTGTGGTTGGGTCTGTCCCTCCCCCGGGGCCATTCATTCAAACAATACAAGCCATCTCAACTAATATTCTAACAATTTTGGGCTGCTAGCCCTCATCGTGCTGTTGAAAGGCGAGCGTTGATGGGGCTGTGTGGGGGGGGGGTTTAGTGGCTTCTCCGGTCTTGGATGGTCTTGGGGTTTGTTTGGTGTCGGATGTGACGTCTATATAGCCAGTTTTTATGTATGATGTTTCATTCCAGCTGGCCGATGGCTCAGAGGCTGCGCAGCTAGGTCAAGCCTGCTTGGGGCTTGCAAGCGGGATAACCCAGTCGCGGACTTTGGCACATCAGGTACTGGCTCACAGGGCATAGGTTTCATGGGTCAAATTATTGGCCTTTGCACCCAGCAAGCCTCAAATTATTGGCCTTTGCACCCAGAAAGCCTCAAAACCCTAACACCCCGCCCAAGCCGTAGAATCAAATCGATCTTGGAACTCCACACTGTGTGGCTCACCGAGCCCCAGCCGCAAACCTTAGACCGTGAATCTGAACCCCACGCATCACACCCTAAGAAGGATTCCCTTAGAATAAGGACCCCAATAAGGTACCCCTAGTTTCGTAAACCCCCATATACTACCAATTGCTTAAGAACCCCAGTATACTGAACTCACGGAGCGGTGAGGTTGGGACGAGGCATTGGCGGCTTGGTTCTGCTGTCGCGGAGGCCGCATTGAACATTCATAGTATAGTTTAGGATTTGGGGTTTAGGGTTTAGGGTTTAGAGTTCCGAGTTGAGAAGTTATAAGGGGGTTTAACAAAATAGGGGACCCTTCATATATGCCCCCAAATAGAAGGGTTGTCTTAGAATAAGGACCCCAAGAAGGTACCCCTATTTTCGGAAACCCCAACATCTTAAGCTTGACGTGACCCCACAGGCTTTGGGCTTTAGGTGGTTCGGCTCCCAGAAGTTCAACTTCTCAGGGCTGAGAGTCGAGGTTTGTGGCTTCAGAGGGCCACGCGCAGTTCAATGGTTCAGTGCGCCAGGTTTAGGCTGCTCCTCTTGAAAGGACCGAGGCCCTCGGTGTCGGGTTTCTGGAGATTTGCCGATGGACTCGTAGTTATGATGCCCTTGCACCTTGCACCCCCCCCCCCCCTCCCCGTGTAACCCGGACACCAGCTGCCCAGCCAGGTCCCAAATCGCGGAGTCAGCAGACTATCACCCAGGATTTGTAGGTGTATGGCAGGGGTTACATTTGCCCGATTATTGTGTTCAAGAGGATCACATTCAGGAGTATGTTTCAGAGGGGTGTAAGGGCCACCCCAGCCAGTGGCAGGCGGGAGTCAGCTAAAGAGACTGCTGCGGCCATCCGGGATGGGCGAGCGAAGGCCAGGCATGTTCTGGAAGCTTCAAGCTGAGGGTTTAAGATTCGCATGCCTTATTCCCTTTTTGGGAGGGTTTAGGTTCCCTTAGAAGCCCATTTAAACCAAGAAGAGCACCCTTTTATTCCTAGGCTACTCTTGGGTCTCGATTGAGGCCTGCTAAACTCCAAACCCTAGGAGCCTCTTCGGGGCCCCTGCTCCCAAGCTGTCGTGTAGCTCAACTTGACATGGCCGCTGAAGCTCCGAAACGTCGCAGAGCTTATGCCTCATAGGGTTCAGGGTCTGCAACTGCCTCTCCCCGAACTGCTTCAACCCCCGAAGCCCGCCAAAATCTAGGCACTTCTGTTTGAGGAACGGGGCACTGCGAGGGAAAGGATAACTGAGCTCAAAACTTTCTCGGTCCTACGACATCTCTGAGGTTGGGAAGCTCTAGGGCCTCTAGAGTTTAGGGTTTAGGGTTTAGCTCCACAGTCAAGGCTTGCTGTGTACGATGCAGGGTTTGAGGTTTAGTGTCTGTCTCCCTCCTGGCTGACGAGCGCCCGATTCCTGAGCCGCAAGCCTCACATCGGGAAAACAACCTCAGCCCCCAATCCCCGAACCCAAATCTCCAGGAGCCTAAGCACTAAGTCCTCAATCCCTAAAAACGCAAGCTTTTCTGCAGCGCTTCTCTCCCTGAACGGCCCTAAGCTCCAAGCCCAAAACGTGAACTCCTTGTCGGCGCACATCGGAGGCCACGCTTCACGCTGTGGTCCAAGGGGAGCCTGAGGTGGCGCCCCCGCGCGCGAGTGTGTGTGTGTGTGTGTGTGTGTGTGTGTGTGTGTGTGTGTGTGTGTGTGTGTGTGTGTGTGTGTGTGTGTGTGTGTGTGGGTGGTTCTTGGGGCGTTGAGTTTTCCGTAGGTTGTGGGTTTGTGTTGGGGTGGAGTCCTTATCCGCCTTCCCGACACCGCCTGGGGGGGGCCTAGGGCCAGCTTGTGTCCCAACATTGGCCCAAGCCAGAAGCATTCGAGATGAGGCCTTGTCACTTAAAACAGCCGGCCCGAGCAGCTTTACCATCCCAATGCCCTCCTACTCTGACACCAGAATCTTTGTATGCCCTGCCGTGAAACCCTGGCGCTTGGTATGAATGGCATCACACAGACAGACTAGCAGGCAAAAACCTAGACAGGCAGAGACGTACGGACACACAGACTGCAACAAAGACATAGACAGAGACAGAGAACGCCTTTAATGATTTCGGAATAGAAATTCCTTGACCATTAAGGCATGTCAACGCTAATTTTGCATAAACGACATCAATCTAACCACCATGACGAATGAATTACCACAATTGGCCACCTTCCTTGCGCGAAGACACCAGGGTTGTGTTAATGGATCACGCGTACTCATTATCTGATTTGGCATGCCAGTAGCTTTTGTTATTCTCCAGCGGCGGAATCATTATATTGTAATCCTGCAGGACCTTGTTGGTGCGATTCCGAATTTAATTGGCGCCTCACGCACTGTAGTAACCCTGTCGTGGCCTCATAAGGCTTATCAAAGTCACCAGGAGGAAATCACGTGCTTGGCCACTTGCCTGTGAGCAAACATTCGAGTCCTCCGGCGCTCAAACATGGCCAAACCCTCAGTGAACTCCGGCCGGCTGTAGAAACCCGAAACCCAAAACCCTAAACCCTAAACCTTCAGCTCATGCTGGTATCAGGAAGCTGCTGTCTGCGGCGAAGGATGGAGACCTGGAGCTCCAGGGTCTAAGGGGTGGGGGGGATGTAGCGTGTCTTCCAGAGCCATGATTCGTGTTTAAGCCATGATTCGTGTTTGAAAATACTGTTCAGCAAGAGTCTTCTCGCCTCCCAACTACAGTATCTCCCGTCGCCCAGTAAACTCCAAATCCCATCTTGTGGGCGTTTGGAACACACACTACCCCAACAAATGGCAATTTCCCCAAATAGGGGTACCCCAAATATACCCCCAAATACTATACAATCCCTATTATAGGAACCCCAAAAAAGGTATCCCCCCCCCCCCCCCCCCCCCCCCCCCCCTGTTCAGAAACCCGCAAACAAGCGCGTGGACGTCCATGAAGGACATACGGTTCACCTCGTGCTCAACATCCCTAAACCCCCTAAACCCTAAAACCTAAACCCTAAACCCTAAACCCTAAACCCTAAACCCGAAACCCTAAACCCTGAACGACCCAAACCCGAAACTGCACCTACAACGTCTGCACTTCGAGGCCCAGGGCATCGTCTGGAGGTGGTTGAAGCCTGCGAGGGGCCACTCGTCCTTGTTGGCATCTTCAGCTGAGCCCTCTTTGTGTGCGGGGGGCAGAAAAGCAGGTTTAATAAGATTCAACTTCAGAAAGACTCTTTTTAGGGTTTATTAACCTTTAGCTTCTGAAAGACTCTTTTTAGTCCTTCCTGTCCTTTGGCACCTTCCGGGCTTGGAAGGAAAAGGACCTACAACTAAGTTCAAGGACACGAAATGATGACGGCGGCCTGCAGTCAGAAAGCCTCAGCCCTCCGCATGCATCCTAAGTTCTGAACTTAAACCGACTTTCGACAAGAAGACCCAAACCCTGAACAAGTTGGAGCCCCGAAGCCTAAAGGAAAAAGAAGGTTCAGCACCCTAAAGCCCTGGGGCGAGGCTTTTCAATCTCCGAACTTCCCTAGCTAAATCAACATATTCCCTGCACCTCCCAAGCCTTTCTCTACTTTTAGTTTCGAAGCCCATGCGACCCCTAAAGTCAACCCATAGAAACCCTACACTCCCACGCGTTCAGGTCGGGTTCAGGCCCCTTTTCGAACTGCAGGCTGAGCTGCACTTGGACGTGGGATTTCCTTGCTTATCTGGGAGGCACAAGAGGCCACTGCTCATTGGTCTGTTTGCAACCGGGGCTCGTGACACAGGGCTCCGGAGCATGCCTTTATGGAGCGTCGAGTGGAGCAATCTCTATCTCGCGCAACGCAGCGCCTTTGCAGGGTAGGACGCAGCAAGAGGTGCAACCGGGCCCGGCCAGCCTCACCCGCAGCACCGGACTGGAAGGCCGCTGACTTTCTTTGGCCGCCAGGATGCGGTCGCTGACTGGCAACGGGCTGCGCAAGATCTGGCAACTGAAAGGGCAAGCTGGGCACAGAGCGGTGTGGGTGGCAATGTATCCCAAGGCGTCGACATGCTCAAGACAGGGCTTCAAAATATCAGTAGCACCCCAACCATAAGAAGTTACCTTTTTTAAGCACCAATAATTGCTGGCAAGCCCAGGCTCAAGCTCGGGCGCCTGAGCTTGCTGAAGGTTGGGCTGCCTGGGTCAGTCCATGTTCACTGAAACCAAGTAACAGCCCTGCACCGTCTCCCGCAGCCCTCGAATACGAGGTTAAGTTTGAGGCTTTAGGTAACGTTCGCACCACGCGGCCGAGACTTGATGAGTGGGGATTCCCGGCCTGAAGTCCCATCGCAGGCCACTGTACAGTACGAGGAGGGCATTGAGAAGCAGGCTGGAGTTCAGCAGTGCTGGGGCATCCGAAGCATCAACTAGAGTCTAGGCCTTCATTGGCAAAAGTACTGCTGCACAACATCTTTGCACACGAGGCTTCATAGTATGGACACTTGGCCCTTCTGCCGGCCATCGCAACCAACACAAGAGAAGCCAAGCTGACATCTGTCAGCATGCAGTAACAGCTTGCCAAAGCACAGACTAAGACATACTACGACCACGAAAGTTGTGCGCGTGTGCTGGTCCATTTATCGATTTGCACCTCAGTCTTGAAGAGGTTTTATGGAAGCATGCTGTGGTCTTCGTCAGGGGAGCATGCGTTGAACACCAACTTCCTCATGCCAACCCGGCACATTGTTTCTGCATGCTGTGCCTCCGAGGACAAGGTTGTACGTCACGATTTTACATGCCTTCCCTGAACCCTAAACCCTAAGCCCTAAGCCCTAAACCCTGAACCCTAAACCCTAATGTAGGATTGGCTGCCACAGGTACGGCGCCAGCTTGCACAGCTCGACCATCGTGTTGTCGCTCGGCTTCAGTTTGTGTCCACATGGACGCCAATTCTGTACAACCCGCCTTGTGGTGGAGGAATGCTTGGCAACCACTTTTTGGCACACAACTCCACACACCTGAACCCTAACCCTAAACCCTAAACCCTAAACCCTAAACCCTAAACCCTAAACCCTAAACCCTAAACCCTAAACCCTAAAGTTCTGTCCGTGTTGGCCTCACAAGAAAACTCTTATTGAGTACTGGTTCGGACGCAGTGCCCACGATTGATTTCAACCTGGAGCCCTGTGCCCTGCTGTCTACTATTGTCTATTTTGGGGTTTAGGGTTTAGGGTTTAGGGTTTGGGGTTTGGGGTTTCGGGTTGCAAACTTCTTTTTTTGGACCTGTCGGATGTTGTCCATTGGAAGCCGCAAGCCTGCCAAAGAGCAGCGAGCCCCGACATGCAGCACAAGACTAGCTCGGCAGGTGCTTGGGACATTATATATTTTCCCTTCTATTGATTGGTCTAAGAGGATGATATTCATTATATATTTTCCCTTTTCTTGATTGGTTTGAGAGGAGCATTTTATATTTTCCCTCCTTGATTGGTTTCAGAGGAGCAGTTTTTTCAGGAATATTGTTCAGAGGGCTTTAAGGGCCATCCTGGCTAGGTCTCGCCGGGAACAGGCAAGAATTGGCTACGCAGCGCAGTTGGACATGCCTCAAAAACCCCCCCCCCCCTTGCAGCGATGAGCGATGAGAAGAGTTGGTTTAGGGTTTAGGGTTTAGGATTTGGGGTTTTGAGGGTCTACGCAAACCCAAAGGCCGAACACTTGCTCGGAACGCATCTTATGCCCGCAAGTTCTCGGGCCCGGCAAAGGTAGCCCCAGCGCGAGGCTGCACGGGCCATCATTACAGGTCACATGTGGGAGATTTGGGGAGGTTATACAAAGATGTTCATGCTACTCGTGTGAGGTTAGGACCAGTTCGGACCTTTACCGGTACCCTTCGTAAGCTGAACACCCTAAACCCTAAAACCCTAAACCCTTGTGAAGGTCCAAACCCTAGACCTGAACTGTAAGTCCTTACATCCGACCTTGGCCGAGATTGGCAATGGTCAGCTCTGCGCACGTGCTGCCGGTCTCCGCCGCACCTTTCTGGCGGTGACGGGCTTCAGGCATCTGGGGAGCATTGCAAGTAGGGTAATCGAAAGAGCACATGTTTTCTGTGGACGGAGGGTCAATAGGGCTTAGGGCTTAGGGTTACTTACTAGCCAGTAGGTTTGGGCTCAGGATCCATGCCCCAAGTTTAGTTCAGGGTAGGAGCACAGCAGCCTGCGCAGGTTTTGTTAACTTTGATGAGTGCAGTTGACTTTCGAGGTTCCCACCAATCAACTTGCATATGGCGCTGGTGGGATTATTGCCACTTTGGGGTTTAGGGTTTAGGGTTTGGGTGCCCTTAGCCTTTCGGAGCCTCCCTGCCTGGGTCTGAAGCATAAGGGACACCCCGGGCCCTGTCAGCACATTGTTTCATTTTTTGAGGGGGGGGGGTCTGAGATAGTGTTAGGTGAAGATCACATTGAGACTAGGTTGGATTGTAAGAAGGCCATCTTCTGATCATGGGCCCATGCTGCCCGAGAGTTCCAGCTGAGTCGGCCTTGCTTATCCCGAAGCTTTGAGGGTAACAATCGAACGGTGGAAGTTCTCCAGTTAAAGTGATAGCAATGGATGCCTTACGAGAACCATACTTTGACCTGTTCATGCAAGTTCGAGCAGGGCCGTAGGGATCATTGGCTTCGGTCGTTTACTTGTTCACACCACTGGCCTCTATCGCCCGGGATTGGGGGATTCGAAGTAGGGGTCGACTCAGTGACTTGGGCTTGTGATATCCCTGCCAGCTCGTTGTTTACTTGGGTAGCAGGTGGCAAAGCTCCCGTCGCGCTTCAACTCAGCTGTTTTACCTAGCTGACTGCACGCAAAAGCACGACAAACCTACGCAAGCTGCTGAACTTAGTCTGGAAACAGGTGTCGGCTACATCTTATGGTTGCTCTTAACTAACTAGCTGATCTCGCCTGAGATTCTGCAAGGTACAGGTTGCTAAGGCACGGCGATTACAGATGCAGTTTGCACTGAAGAGTTCACGATGTTTATTCAGGCACAGGCTGCAAGTTTTTGTTCCTTCCAACATGTCCATGCGGATGGAATTGGTGCGTGGCCCTCATGGGACATTCACGCGCACAGAGCCTTGACAGAAGAACTGGGCACAGTCCCAGAAATGCCAGAAGCCGAAGCCCTGTCAATCATGGCGCGCTCAAAAGAACCTGAAAGTCTTAGCCCTTCTACTCTAGAACCCTGAACCTCAAACACAAGCCCGTTAGGGGCTGCAACTTGTTGTCTTCAGGCTTAGTTTTTTTTCAGCTTGCAGGCCGCAAACAAAGCACTCAGCCACCAAACCGACAGAATCCCAATGGTTTGGCGTTTGGGGGTGGCTAGGGTCACAAAGATCACCCTGGCTCTTGTTCTCTTGTTTCCCGGCTGCAGCAACGTCGTGCCACAGTTTGTGGGAAGAACACCGAACTCGCGTTGAAGCGGGGTGGACTGAACCGCAGGAAGAGAGTCGGAATGGGAACCCAAGTTGTGCAGCCATGCTAGCTTTGTATATTGCGGCTCCATGGTTGCGTCGGATGTTTTCACTGGCAGCGGCTGCGAAACAAGCTCGACAGTCGGACACCCACCCCAGATGACAAGCTCAGAAACTCACGAAGCCCTCCGAACCGCATCGGCCTCATACTCTGCAAGTCCTGCAGAACTCCCAAGAAACCCGAACTCTTTGAGAACCTCCAGCCCGCAACTTGAATCGGGCGTTGGCACCCTAAGCTGCCTGGAATAGGCTGCTACTAGACAGAGACCCCCCCCACCATATACCCTAAACCCTAAACCCTAATCCCTAAACTGTAATCCCTAAACATTTGAGGACCGCCCCCGCCTCAACGGGAAGCTGCTGAGATGTGCGGGCTGCCTGGCACTCGCGTTGCCGGGGGCCCCAGCGGGCCGACCATCCCGCTTTGGGTTTAGGGCCTCGAAGTTCAGGGTTTAGGGTTTAGGGTTTAGGGTTTAGGGTTTAGGGCTTAGGGTTAGGGTTTAGGGCTTGGGGGTTAGGGTTTAGCGTTTCGGGTTTAGGGTTGCCGACAGCGTCTAGAAGCCCCCACCCAAACAAGTCCACAATCTATGGGTGGAGGGGCGGGGGGGCGGGGGGGGGCTTCCTTTGTTGGGCGGTGGTAGCGGATCGAAACAGGCTGACTCCGTGCAGAATTGGGGATTGTGATTCGAAAGCATGTCGTGTGAGTGCGCGCCAGGCTTCTCGGCTATTGCCGGCTATTTGAGCAGCTGTCCTTCGCGGCCCCCAAGTCGCAAATGTTCCCTGGAGGCAAAGTTTAGGTCTTCGACTGTATTCCACGGTGATAGATTTGCATGTAAATTTTACCGCAGGGCTTCTTAACAGGCCTCTCGTAACGCAGGGACTGAAGGGTGCGCGGAGCCTTGATAGCAAGTGACCACCTACGAATGCTGCCTGAGCTTGGTAACCTTGAGCTAAGTCGTTCAGAGCTTTAAAGCGATGAAACGCATGGTGACCTCACGGCCAGAGACGTCGTGCAAGGATCTTCAGGTCCGGGATTTGGAAGGACAGGGCTGGATACTCGCAGCCGGTTGTCACATCATTCTTTTGGGACTTGCTCTGAGCAACAGCACTCAAGTCAAATGTCGATAGATTAGGGGGTCCCGGGTCCCATATTTTCGGAAACCCCCATATTCAGATAGAACAACGGAAAGATTTTGTCCGGATCCTTCATCTGTAGTAGAGACAGCGTCAGCGCCCGTTCCTGGCACTTCAATCTGGAGTTGCATCCCAACTCCTAGCCTTGTGGGTTCAGGGTCGAAAGGGTTTAGGGTTTATAGTTTATAGGGTATAGGGTTTAGGGTTTAGGGTTTAGCACGCGAACATCGATTGTAAATACGCCACCAGCCATGACAGCTTCCAGTCAAGCTGCCGAAGCCCGAAGTCTCGCTGTTTGCAAAGCTCCCCCGCCTCCTTCCCAGAAGGGCCACCAGGGCTCGGGAGCCTCAAAGCGTTTAGGGTTTAGGGTGAAGGGTTTAGGGTTTAGTGTTTAGGGTTTAGAGTTTAGGGTTTAGGGCCGCCTCTTTGGGCCTCAGAGCCTTGAGCTGGGGATTTTGCCTCCGACGAGGTTCGGCCGGGAGCGGGTTCGCCACAGCCAGCGGCGGGTACTCGGACAAACCGAGAGCACCGAGGCCTTTGCCAGGGATCCCGAATTGCTACAAACCCTGACAGAGACCCGAAATGACCCCTAATTCCTACACCTACTTGCTGCAAGCACACATCTAAAGTGGCACCCGGCAAGCTGGCGGACAGGGAGGGGCATGGTAAAGGTGGGACTCCCCAAAAAAGGCTCTCGCCACATCGGACTTGGCCGTGCGAACCAGGGGGGAGGCGGTGGTCGTGTGGCGCAAATCGCGTCAAGGCATGAGGATCGCT